CAGCCACCCCCAAGAGATGGCTCATTACAATAGTTTCTTGTTAGAGTTCAGTTCCATATAATGAAAATCATAAAAGTAAACCTCAAGTTGATCTGCTTATTTTTTTTTTTAAGATTTATTTATTTATTTGAGAGGCAGAGTTGCAAAAAAACAGAGAGGTCTTTCATCCGCTGGTTCACTCCCCAGATAGCCACAGTGGCCAGAGCTGGGCCAATCTGAAGCCAGGAGCCAGGAGCTTCTTCCGGGTCTCCCACGTGGGTGCAGGGGCCCAAGCACTTGGGCCATCTTCTACTGCTGTCTCAGGCCACAGCAGAGAGCTGGATCGGAAGTGGAGCAGCCAGGACTCGAACTGGCACCCATATGGGATGCCGGCCCTGCAGGCCGAAGCTTGACCTACTATGCCACAGCACCGGCCCTGATCCACTTATTTTAAAATGATTCTTCAGTTAGCAGTGATTTCTGAGGTATAAAGTAGAAACCGCTCAGTTACTAAAACATCGAATAACTGTTTATTCTGTATCCTTCTTCTCCTGGTTCTGCTGCTGAGTGGGTGTAGAGTAGTAAAGAGAGGCGGCCAGGCCCACCCCCCCTCAGGCTGATCCCCTGCAAGGCCAGGGTGGAGCTGCCCTGGGCGTTGTGTTTGAAGTAAGGGACCAGGTGCCAGGGCTCGGCATTAGAAGCTGGGGAGAGGGGTGACCGCTGAGGTCAGGAACACAGGGAGGGCGTGTCTGGGATGCCCAGGGGAGGAAGGATTGTCAGGAGCAGGGAGGGAGTGACCCTGTGGTCAGCAGGCCATCTGAGAGTGAGACCCTGTCATCCTGACAGGATGAGGATGAAAACATGCCCCCTCTGGGCAAACAAATTAGAAAAAGGCCAACACAGCCCAGGGGACCTTGTCTGGCCCAGCAGAGGAGGAACGACTGGCCCCTTAGGCAGGAACCCGGTGTGCAGCCCCAGCCAGCCAGCCATCAGCAGCGCCAGTGCCCGGAGCTCCTAGCAGGCCCAGCAAGGGTGAAGGTGCTGGCATCCGCAGTGCCCAGGGCTGCACGCCTACCCGGTGCCTGTCGCGCAGACGGCTGCCGCCAGAGGGCGCCCACGCGCAGCGGTGACTCCCGGGAACAAAGAGGCCTCAGAGGAGGCAGCTGAGCTGGAGTGGCACCAAGACCTTGCCCGGGGCTTCAGCTCATTTCGCCCACTTGAGGGATGTTTCTGCCCTTGAGAGAAGCTGCCAACCTTTCCTCGTGAGGCCAGCGCAACCCGTGACTGTTTACTGGCCAGGATTTAGTCTGAGCCTGTGGCATCCGAGCTTCCAGAGCGAGGGCAGGACAGTTAACCTCGGCAGAGGACGCTCCCCCATCGCCTGCACGGGGGTCCTCGCCCACCCAGACGCTCCTGTCGCCTTCCTGTTGTCCCCCTTCGCTTTATTCCCTCAACTTGTTTTGCAGTTTTAAAAAAATCATAGAGACCAGGTCGGTGCCGCAGCTCACTAGGCTAATCCTCCGCCTTGCGGCGCCGGCACACCGGGTTCTAGTCCCGGTCGGGGCACCGGATTCTGTCCCGGTTGCCCCTCTTCCAGGCCAGCTCTCTGCTGTGGCCAGCGAGTGCAGTGGAGGATGGCCCAAGTGCTTGGGCCCTGCACCCCATGGGAGACCAGGATAAGTATCTGGCTCCTGGCTTCGGATCAGCGCGGTGCGCCAGCTGCAGCGTGCCAGCTGCGGCAGCCATTGGAGGGTGAACCAACGGCAAAGGAAGACCTTTCTCTTTGTCTCTCTCTCTCACTGTCCACTCTGCCTGTCAAAAAAAAAAAAAAATTATAGAGACCAGGGTGGTGACACAAAGTTAAGGCGCCACCTGTGACACGGGCATCCTATATGAGTGCTGTTTTGAGTCCCAGCTGCTCCCTGCTAATGCACCTGGGAAAGCAGCAGAGGCTGGCCCAAGTGCTTAGGCCCCTGCCACCCATGTGGGAGACCAGGATGAAGCTCCCGGCTCCCGACTTTGGTCTGGCCCAGTCCCGGCCATCGGGGAGTGAACCAGCAGATGGAAGATTTCTCTCTCTGTATCTCCCCCCTCTTCCAACATCATAAGTAAAGCTTAAGTAAAATATGCCCATCAACAGAACAGTAGAGAAGGGATCTCAAGGCTCCTCCCACAAGCTCCACACCCTCCAAAGGGGGCCTCTGTTGTCCAGGCACGTCTGAGCGCCCCACTTGGTTGCTGTGCAGGCCCTACCTTTAGCCTGCTCTTCCAGCAAGAGCTGTCTTGGGATCTGTTGTTGGATGGCGGGGTCCAGGTTCTTGCCTCTGACACGGGAAGGAATTCAAGGAGCAGCCACAGCAAGATACGGTGGAGAGGGATTTGTTTGCCGAGTGAAAGCACACCTGAGAGCACGCTTGGCAGAGTGTGAGGTTATCCCTTATGATCTGGAGGTACTGAGTCTTCGTAGGGGGTGGGCTGTGAGTTCCACCCATTTTCTTGCCACTTGGAAGTCTGGGAAGTGTCAGGTTGTCAGGTGCCCGGTGGGCGTGTCAGCCATGATAATTTTATTATAATGATATTATGGGCTCTACGTCATGGCCGGGATTCGGTCAGCAGCTGTGTTGGTTATTTTCAGCCTTGGCTAGTCCACCCAAAAGGTAGGATGGGCAGGGTTCTTGGTCCTCGTTGCTTTCTTGCCTGTATCAGTGTCTGCCACATCCTGTCCATCAGCTGTATGGTGTCCTCCCTGGAGCAGCTGCGGCCCCCGTGTTGGGCTCATGCCCCGTGGCCACTGGGTTGGGGCCATTAAAAAGAATGTTGCAGGCCGGCGCCGCAGCTCACTAGGAAAATTCTCCACCTTGCGGCGCCGGCACACCGGGTTCTAGTCCCGGTCAGGGCACCGGATTCTGTCCCAGTTGCCCCTCTTCCAGGCCAGCTCTCTGCTGTGGCCAGCGAGTGCAGTGGAGGATGGCCCAAGAACTTGGGCCCTGCACCCCATGGGAGACCAGGAGAAGCACCTGGCTCCTGCCATCGGATCAGCTCGGTGCACCGGCCGCAGCGGCCATGGGAGGGTGAACCAAAGGCAAAGGAAGACCTTTCTCTCTCTCTCTCTCTCTCTCTCTCTCTCTCAGTCTCACTGTCCACTCTGCCTGTCAAAAAAATTAAAAAAAAAAAAAAAAAAGAATGTTGCAGCGATTCCCCATTGCTTTTGTGAAGGTGCCCTCTCTGGAGGGGGAGCTCCTGGAACAGGAGTTTCCGAGTCCAAGGTTAGGAGCCCGTAATGTCAAGACATCCTGCCCAGCTGGCCTCCTGAAATGTTGTACCCTCTCACCTGACCACCAGCGGAGTAAGTGGAAGGCCTGTTTGTCCCTTTTGGGGATGCCAGAGTGGGAAAAGCTGCCTTGCTTTCCTTTCTGTCCCGTTTGGCGACATAGTTTATCTGGTGCATTTCTTAGTTCTCAGATCCTGGTAGCCCCGAGCAGACTCCAGGGGCCCTGGGCTGACTGGCTGCTGCCCTGCCCGGGGAGCCCGGCCGATCCCTCGGCACTTGTTGTCCTGTCTCTGTAGGAGGGGATGTTTGATCAAGGCCAGCCACGGTTCTGTCCAGCAAGGTGCTAAAGCCGTTCTGACCTCAGCTGTAGTGGGAAGTGCTCATACATGTGTCAGCGACTCACAAAGCACCACCCGCCCTGCCGCATCACATGGGCTGCGCCATGATCTTATTTTTTTTTTAAAGATTTATTTATTTATTTGAAAGGTGGAGTTATAGAGACAGAATCAGAAAGAAAGAAAGGCCTTCCATCCACTGGTTCACTCCCCAAATGGCCGCAACGGCCAGAACTGGGCCAATCTGAAGCCAGGAGCCAGGTGCTTCTTCCAGATCTCCCATGTGGGTGCAGGGGCCCAAGGACTGGGCCATCTTCCACTGCTTTCCCAGGCCATAGCAGAGAGCTGGTCAGGAAGTGGAGCAGCTGGGACTCAAACCGGCACCCATATGGGATGGGATGTCGTCACCGCAGGTGGCAGCGTTACCCACTACACCACAGCGTCGGCCTCACAGTGTTCATTTTTCACCTGACCCAGGAGCCCTTGCATTCTGGGTTTCCCCTTAGAGGCCCCTGGGAGTTGTGAAGAGCCCATCCTGGAGCTGGGGGTTAGGAGGCACGGAGGTTCTGTGATCTTAAAGACAAGGAAAACATCCTCTCCCCCCGGGAGTTGGACAGAGTGTCCAGTCCCCAGAGAGGGGCCCCCACAGGTGGGTTGTGAAGGGGGATGGTATGGGGGAAGCCCCTTGTCCAGTCTCCCAGGGCTTCTCTCTTTCCCCAGGTGCACACAGTTCCATACCCTTCCTGGTGCCCCCCTTTTGTCTCTCACTGGGGCTGTGGCATAAGAGCAGGGGGCACCCCGAAAAGGAGCCTGGAAGCGCTGCCACCCACGCGGCTTCTGTGGAGGGTCCCGCCCTGCCCCTGGCTCCACACTTTCTCCTGTGTTAGATTAGGTCAGGGGTGGCCTCTCTAATTATCGTCTCTGCCGACCTAATTGCAGTGGGCTAATTTGGTAATGGCTTTGGGAACTGGGAGCCTTTGCTTGGGGCGGTATTGCAGCCCCTGGGTCCCAGCAAGGGAGCTTGCCAAGGACAGTCCCGCGAAGGAGCTTGACTGTGGCCCCAAGGCCCTGTGGCCCTGTGCGAGTGGGCAGCGTGGGACCCTCTGCGTGCAGCTGTCCCGTCTGGTCAGTGCGGGTCTTTTCCTGGTCCGGGAGCCCCAGGAGCCCGTGCTGAGTGGCATCAGGCAGGGCCTTGCCAGTTTTAAACAAGTGCTCTTTAACGGAATGCCTTTAAAAAGGAGCTTGGTTTTCCTCCTCATAAAAGCAGTATCTGTTTGCCACGGAAACGTCAGAAAATGCGGGAAAGGGGACGCACCCCGGCAGGCCTCCACCCCTGTGACTCACGACCGTCAGCGTGCCCGTGTTTGGTGGAGAGAGTCTCATGCCTGGCGCCTGTGCTCCCGTTGTCCCCGCAGGGAAGTCCCACCTGGCCATCGTGCAGAAGGTGAACAACGAGGGGGAGGGAGACCCCTTCTACGAGGTCCTGGGCCTGGTCACCCTGGAGGACGTCATCGAGGAGATCATCAAGTCCGAGATCCTGGACGAGTCGGACATGTACAGTGAGTTCAGCTCTCTCCACGGGCCACAGCCCCCATCTTGCCTGGACCCAGAAGCCTGGGGCTCCTGGGTGGAGAGGCCCCGGCGAGCAGCGAGCCCGTGGGAGCCGGGACAGGAGGCTGCGCTGGTCCTCGGGCCGGAGCTGCTGGCGTGTGGGGTGGGGGGAGGGGCGGAGGGGGTTCTAGTCAGCTCTGAGTTCCAGATTCTTTCTCTCGCAGCTGACAACCGGAGCCGGAAACGAGTGTCTGAGAAGAACAAGCGTGACTTCTCAGCCTTCAAGGATGCTGACAACGAACTCAAAGTGAAAATCTCGCCCCAGCTCCTCCTGGCCGCTCATCGCTTCCTGGCCACGGGTAGGAGCACAGAGAGGGCCAAGTGGTGTTGGTGGAAGTGCAGGCAGGGGAGAGGGGCAGCAGGTGCCAGGACAGCGCCAGGCCCCTGGAAGGCACAGTGCACCTCCCTCCTCCCTAGGGCTTACACTGCAGGCTTCCAGGGAGCAGCCAACTTAACTTTTTTGTTTTTCAAAAAATACTTATTGGGCTAGTGCCATGGCTCACTTGGCTAATCCTCCGCCTGCAGTGCCAGAATCCCATATGGGTGCCAGGTTCTAATCCCGGTTGCTCCTTTTCCAGTCCAGCTCTCTGCTGTGGCCCGGAAGGGCAGTGGAAGATGGCCCAAGTGCTTGGGTGCCTGCACCCGCATGGGAGACCAGGAAGAGGCACCTGGCTCCTGGCCTCAGATTGGCGCAGCTCTGGCTGTAGCGGCCATTTGGGGGGTAAACCAACAGAAGGAAGACCTTTCTCTCTGTATATCTCTCTCACTGTCTAATTCTATCTGTCAAAAACAATTTAAGAAACACTTATTTATTTATAATTTGTTTGAAAGGCAGAAAAAGAGAGAGGGGGCCAGCGCCATGGCTCACTAGGCTAATCCTGTGCCTGCGGCGCTGGCACCCCGGATTCTAGTCCTGGTTGGAGCGCCGGTTCTGTCCCGGTTGCTCCTCTACCAGTCCAGCTCTCTGCTGTGGCCTGGGAAGTCAGTGGAGGATGGCCCAAGTGCTTGGGCCCTGCACCCACATGGGAGACCAGGAGAAAGCACCTGGCTCCTGGCTTCGGCTCGGCACAGCGCACTGGATGTAGCAGCCATTTAGGGGGTGAACCAACGGAAGGAAGACCTTTCTCTCTGTCTTTGTGTCTCATTGTCTAACTCTGCCTGTCAAAAAAAAAAAAAAAAAAAAAAAAAAAAAGAGAGAGAGGGGCTGGTGTTGTGATGCAGTGTGTTAAGTTCCTGCCTGCAATACTGGCATCCCATGTGAGTGTCAGAGTCCCGGCTGCTTCACTTCCCATCCAGCTCCCTGCTGATGCACCTGGGAAAGCAATGGAGGATGGCCCAAGTGCTTGGCCCCCTGCCAGCCATGTGGGAGACCTGGGTGGAGTTCCCAGCCCTGGCCATGGTAGCAATTTGGGGAGTGAACCCGAAGATGGAAGACTTCTTTCTCTTTGTAACTGCTTTTCAAGTAAATAAATAAATCTTAAAATTAAAAAAACGAAACTAAAAAAAGCAAAGAGAGACAGCGGCAAAGAGAGAGACAGAGACCTTCCAACCACTGGTTCTTTAACTGCAAGGGCTGGACCAGGCTGAAGTGAGGAGCCCAGAACTCCATCTGGGTATCTGACACGGATGGTAGGCACCCAGGTACTTGCAGGGTGTGTATTAGGAGGAGGCTGGACTCGAACCAGGCACTCCAGTATGGGATGTGGGTGTCCCAAGCTGGGACTTAACTGCTGTGCCAAACGCCTACCCCCAGAGTTACTTTTTCTTTTTTTTTAAAGATTTATTTTTCTTATTTGAAAGTCAGAGTTACACAGAGAAAGAGAGAGAGAGAGAGAGAGAGAGAGAGAGTGAGGTCTTCCATCCGCTGGTTCACTCCCCGATTGGCCGCAACGGCCAGAGCTGTGCCGATCCGAAGCCAGGAGCCAGGAGCTTCCTCCAGGTCTCCCATGTGGGTGCAGGGGCCAAGCACTTGGGCTATATTGTACTGCTTTCCCAGGCCATAGCAGAGAGCTGGATCAGAAGAGGAGCAGCCGGGACTCAAACCAGCGCCCATATGGGATGCCGACACTTCAGGCCAGGGCATTAACGCACTGCACCACAGTGCGCGCATCCCCCCCCACCCCCCCCACCCCCCACCCCAGAGTTACTTTTGCAATAAGCCTGAAGTCCTTGAGAGGGCACCTCGGAGATCAGTAAGGAGAAGGGGGCCCTCCACTTGCTGGAACTCGCCCCTTGCCTGCCCATGCGCCCGAAGAGCCTGTGCTCCACCCTGGTCTCAGTCTCCTGCCTGCCCCCTGCCTGTGTGTGCTGGGCCCTGCAGGAACTGACCTCGAGACCAGTGACATTTCTGTTTTCTCACCCCTGGTTCAGTCGCCAGGACCTAGGTGACAGATTGGAGAAATACCAGCCTCCTCCATCCCTTCTGCACAACCCACCCTCCTTCCCAGCCCTCAGTTGGTAGCAGTGTGATCATTCTTTTTCCTTTATGTTTGCTACTACAATATTAATGTTGATAACAATAGTAAATTTTTTTAAATATTACTGTTTTTCCTTTTTAATTTATTTATTTGAGAGGCAGAGTTACAGAGAGAGAGGCAGAGACAGAGACAGAGAGAAAGGTCTTCTATCTGCTGGTTCACTCCCCAAAATGGCTGCAATGGCTGGAACTTGGCCAATCTGAAGCCAGGAGCCAGGAGCTTCTTACAGGTCTCCCACTTGGGTGCAGGGGCCTAAGCATTTGGGCCGTCTTCCTCTGCTTTCCCAGGCCATAGCAGAGAGCTGCATCGGAAGAGGAGCAGCCAAGACAGGGGCCAGTGCCCATATGGGATGCCGGCACTGCAGGCAGAGGCTTAGCCTACTATGCCACAGTGCCACTCTACCCACCTCCCACCCCCCCCTTTTTTTTTTTTACTCAAAACGCAGAGTGACAGAGAAAGATCTTTCATCTGCTGGTTCACTTCCCAGATGGCTTCAATGGCTAGGGCTGGTCCAAGCTGAAACCAGGAGCCTGAAACTCCATCTGAGTCTCCCACATGAGTGGTAGGGACCAAGCACTTGGGCCGTTTATTAAGCAAGGAGCTGGATCAGAAACGGAGCAGCCAGCACTCTAAACCTGCACTCTGATATGGGATGCCAGCATTCCCGGCAGCTTCTTAGCCCTCTGTACCGAGTGCCTGTCCCCATAGTGATGATCCTGGTAATTCTAGGGACACTGATTAAGCACTTCCCACGTGCCAGGAGTGTGTCTAAGTGCTTTATTTGTGTTATCCCATTTGACCTCGCAAACCACCCAATGAGGTTTTATCCCCAGTTGATGTATGTGGAAACTGAGGCACAGGTTAGATAGTTAGCCCAAGGTCATGTGCTGTTGGGACCAGGGCCACCATCCCGGCCAGCGCCGGCAGACGGAAGACTTGGGTCTAAGCAGTCAGCAGCCAGGAGCAGAAGTGAGGGAGTGCCTGAGCCAGTGGGCACCAGCTCAGCTCAGGGCTGCCGCTGCAGTGACCGAGCCCCCGGGCTGCTGGCCTGGCCCCGCGTGAATCCCCCCTCTCTCCTCCTCCAGAGGTCCCCCAGTTCAGCCCCTCTCTCATATCGGAGAAGATCCTGCTGCGGCTGCTCAAGTACCCAGACGTCATACAGGAGCTCAAGTTCGATGAGCACAACAAGTACTACGTCCGCCACTACCTGTACACCCGAAATAAGCCCGCCGACTACTTCATCCTCATCCTGCAGGTGCGCGCCTCCTCCTCGGGCCACTCCCCACCCCAGCTTCTGCTGCCCCGCAGCCTCTGCTCGCCCCACAGTGCTCGTCCTCTCCCCCGGGGCCGCCTTGCACCTGCAGGGCAGAGCCCTGAGCACGCCAGGACTCTGGGCCACCCCTGCCTCCTGCGGCTGGCTGCGCCACTCCCGCGCCTCACTGCCACACCTGTCTCCGCCTTGTTTTTCTTCCCTGTAACCCTGACCTTGTGTTCTTCCAGGGGAAGGTGGAGGTGGAGGCAGGGAAGGAGAACATGAAGTTTGAGACGGGTGCCTTCTCCTACTATGGGACCATGGCCTTGACCTCGGTCCCCCCTGGTGAGTTATAGGGCTGGGCCTGCACCTTTCTCCTGCATCCCAGAACTGAGGTGGTTTAAGGTGTGGGAGTGAGGGTGGAGAGGCGGTGGTGTGTGTATTGGTGAGGGCCAGGCTGCCAGGGCCTAGAGGAGGTGGCCTGGAAGAGCAGGGTGACTTGCCCCTTTCAACGGGGTCCAGAGGCCCAAGTCACAGAGACGAGAAGGGAATTCTTAGCGAAGGCCTGGGCAACCAAGGCGGGTATCCTGAGAGGGTGAGGAGACCCGCCGTGGAGGGCAGGGGGGTGGACTATGGGTAGGAAAGGACACATCAGGGAGCCTCAGAAAGTCACAGGCCTTTAGGTAGCTATTACATGAAGTCAGAAGCGCTCGTGGCCCGCTGTGAGAGAAGTGTAAGGAGACCAGGATGGACTGGCAGGGCCAGGCGGCCTCAGTGCCCCTGCTGCCCGTGACAGCAGGCGGAGGTGAGGACTGGGGCACCCAGAGCGCCCATAGTTGGGAGCCAGGCCAGGGCCTGTTTAGCAGGGTGGGTTACAGATGGTCTTAGCTTTTCCAGGGGCTTAGCCACTGCCTTTGGTTAAGGGTTGGTTCTGATGGAATAAAGGGACTTGGGGGCAGCCAGAGGGGGAACAGGGTCCCCTCCAAGAGTGCTTATGGGAGGTCTGGGGAGAGACACTCTGCTTCTCCTCCCCTGCCAGAGAGGCTGTGTGTTGAGGGTGGGAGCCCAGCAGGCAGGGCCCACAATCCAACCCCACTCGCTCCTCACTCCATGTGCACCCTGACCTCGGGAGCCTGCTGCGGGGTTGACCAGTGATACTCAGGCCGTGCTGGTGGGCGGGTGGCTGTGGCTCCTGGGGAACCTGTCCTTTGACACAAAGGAAGCCATGTTGGGGGCCAGGACACCTGTGTGCAATGACACTGCATCCTCTGTGCCCCACCAGGATGAGCTAGGGTGGCACAGCTGCTGGCGGGGGTGGTGGATAAGGCACCAAGTTGGAGTAGGGGTCCCTGCCTGGACGCCTGAGGTCTGGGAAGGACTTGCCTGCCTGTCCCAGAAGCTCCTGTCGTCATCCGCCTTGGGGAGGTCTTGTGTGGAAGGAGAGTGGTTATGTGTGACTGCCCAGATGCTGCATCCCTGCTGCACAGCCCTGGCGATTTGGCCAGGCTTCCTGGCTCCATCCTTCTCCCTTCAGCCCTCAGTTCTGATGTGGGTGGCCCGGAGGGAGGGGGATGATTCTGGGCTCATTCCAGCATCAGTTCTGTCCTCGGTGTAGGGCAGAGCAGCCCTCCTGCCAGAGCTCCGCCCCCTTCCCACTGTGCTCCCCTCTGCTGGTGGTACCGGGCTCCCATCAGCTCTGTCTCTCCATGCTGTTTCCTGTGGCTCCGGGTCCTGCCTCCTGACCTGGCCCTGGATACTGACCCTCCTCCTCTTTTGCTCCAGCGCCGTCAACCCAGGTCAGGTGTCCGCTTGGCAAGCGGAACTCCTTGCTCTCCTGGCTCTCAGGTAAATGTGGCATGGCTAGAGAGGTTCACACTGCCACCTGTCGCCTGGCTGCCCCGCAGCTGCACTAACTCCTCCTCTGGGCACACCTGGGGGCCAGCCTGCCTTGTACTGGCTCTGCCCGGCCTGGGGCCCAGTTGCTGGGTGGCTTTGTCCTTGTTCTCAAAGGGCCTCCCCAAAGGTCCTTAAGTCTCTGAGAAGATGCATGTGCAAACCCCTATAGACAGACACACAAACATACCCGCAGATGACAGGCCGGGAATAGAGGACTGCTCCCAGCCAGGCCAAGTGTGCACTCGCCAGCCTTGCCCACCAAGGGCAAGGGCAAGCCTGGAGGAGACCGGGCAGCTGCTCTGCACCCCTGCTGCAGGCCGCTCCCTGGCCTTGGCCGGGTGACTTCTCACTCATCAGCTTCTTCTCGCACCTGCTTAGCCTTCCTCACAGCCTTGGCTTTCTGTTCTCTCGTTGTGTCTGTGTGCCCGGGAGAGGTGGCACAGGGCAGTTAGCAGCACAGTCCCAGTGTCAGGCCCCCTTCAAACACCACCTCCACAGTCACAGCTAAATGACACCCGTTCATCCCCGGGCCTCACGTGGAAAGGAGGATGATCCGTATACTAGCCTCCATAGAGCTGTCAGGGGCAGGAGGTGACAGGGCTGATATAAAGTGTTTACTTGGAGCTCCATTATTATTTCTTTCTTTCTTTCTTTCTTTCTTTCTTTCTTTCTTTCTTTCTTTTTTTTTTTTCTCTATTACAACTAAAATGTCCTATTCTAGCTGGAAAAGAATTTAGAAAAAGGCCATTTGCTCTTTCTGGACATGGTGCCAAGCTGGACTGGGTGGACCCTGCCTGCTATCATGTTTTAAAACAGTTTTATTTATTTATTTAGTCAGAGTTTGAGGGAGAGAGAGAGAGAGAGAGAGAGAGAGAGAGAGAGAGATCTTCCATCCACTGGTTCACTCATCAGGTGGCCACAGTGGTGAGGGTTGAGCCAAGCAGAAGCCAGGAGCCAGGAGGTTCATCCATATCTCCTACATGGGTGCAGGGACCCAGGGACTTTGGGCCATCTTCCACAGGCCATAGCAGGGAGCTGAATTGGAAATGGAGCAGCCGGGATTCGAACTGGCACACATAAGATTTGCCAATGTCACAGGCGGCCGCTTTACCTGCTGTGCCACAGTGCTAGCCAGATATCACACTTCTGATAGCTGTCCTAGGAGTTGGAGGGAGTAGTGTAGGGCCAAACTCACTCAGTGTGAGGTGTGCTAGGATTCTCATGTGCACTGAGGCCACATAGTGTGGGCTGGCGCTGCTCTCGCAGCAGATCCTGGCCTGGGCTGGGGAGCCCCATGTGGGTCAGGAACATTACAAGTTTCACAGACACCTTTTTTGTTTTAATTTCTATTTATTTGAATGAGAGAGAGCGAGAGCACTCTCATCCAGTAGTTCACTCCCCAAATGCCTGCAACAGTCGGGCCTGGGCCAGACCAAAGCCAGGAGCCCGGAACTCAATCTGAGTCTCCCACGTGGGTGATGGGGGGCCCAGCCACTTGAACCATGGCCTGCTGCCTCCCAGGGTACACATTAGCAGGAAGCTGGAATCTGAAGTAGAGTCAGGAGTTGAACCCCTGCACTCTGCTGTGGGATGTAGGTTTCCCAAGTGGCATCTTAACCACTGCCCCAAGTGCCTGCCCCACATTATAGCCATCTTTGAGCTGTTTGGACCTCAGCAGCCCTAAAAACCCTCAGTCATTTGTTTCCTACTTCATATTTGTACAGCTGGAATTTTTTTCTTAATTGTTCCAAAGCCTGCCTTGCTATTCTGACCTTCTGTTTCAAAAATAAATAAAAGAGTGACTTAGAGGAAGTTGCACTCCCCTTCACACCCCGCCAGTGTGACCTCGGCTTTCCTTCCCTCTTCCGCACTTGCTGCTGTTCACGGCTAGCCAGGGGGTTAAGCATGCATGTCTCGAATTCTGATGTCTTTACTTCATACAGGAACATAAACTAGTCAAATCCACACAGTGTGCACCGAGCAGGTGGGCCTCCCTTTATGAATTCTCTGCTTTATGCATAATCATGGGGGTCTTTATTATAGATAACATCTCCTTATGCCAAAAATTTTTTCTGTGTTTCTTTTTAAAGATTTATTTATTTATTTTAAAGGTATAGTGGCAGAGAGAGACGGAGAGAGAGAGATTTTCCATCTGCGAGTTTATTTCCCAAATGCCTGCAACAGCCAGGTCTGGGCCAGGCAGAAGCCAAGAGCCAGGAACTCTGCCTGAGTCTCCCACATGGGTGGCAAGGGCCCAAGCCTTGAGCCATCATTTGCAGCCTCCAAGATGCATTAGCAGGAAGCCAGATTGGAAGTGGAGCAGCCAGGACTTGAACCAAACACTTCAATATGAACATGGTGTCCCAAGTGACAGCTTAACCTACCGTGCCACAACACCCACTCCTAAGATGATTTTCTTAGGCTACTCTTCCAAGAGATATAATTAACCTTGTCAAACTTCCTAGTTTTTGTGATATTGCTTTATTTTAATCATAAAAGCAATATAGCATATTTAGGAGATCGGGAAACTAAAACATCATTTCATTACTCAGAGGCATACCTTCTAGTATATTTATTTATTTTCAGGATCTCTAGCTTTTTGCTTTTTTGAAAGAGTTACAGAGAGAGGGAGAGATAGAGAGATCTTGTACCACTGGTCACTCCCCAAATAGCCACAACAGTAAAGGCTGGACTGGGCCAAAGCCAGGAACCTGGGACTCCACCCAGGTCTCCTATGTGGGTGGCAGAGGCCCAAGCGCTTGGGCCATCTTTCACTGCTTTCCCAGGCGCATTAGCAGGGAGCTGGCATGAAAGTGGAGGAGCTGGGACTCAAACTGGTGCTTAAATGAGATGGTGCTGTCATAGGCAGCAGCGTGACCTGCTGGACCACAACACCAGCCACTAGGGCCTTTAGCTTTAATAGGTCATGTCACTAATTTGTGTTGGTTTTAAATTCAGTTCCTGTTTCTGGGTGTCAATAAGCATTAACTAAAAACATTCTGGGGCTGGCACTATGGCACAATGGGTTAAGCCGCGGCCTACAACCCCAGCATCCCATGTTGGAGTGCCAGTTCAGGTCTTAGCTACTTGCTTCTCATCCAGCTCCCTGCTAATGTTCCTGGGGAGGCAGCAGCAGACGACCTAAGTACTTGGGCCCCTGCCACCCTCGTGGGAGATTCAGACGGAGTTCCTGGCTCCTTGCTCCAGCTTGGCCCAGACTTGGCTTTTGCAGCCATCTAGGGAATGGATAGTGGTGGAAGATTCTCTCTCTCTCTCTCTCTCTCTGATGCTCTGCCTTTCTAATAAATAAATAAATCTTTTTTTTTAATTAAAGATAAACGTTCTTTTTTTTTGTTACGCTAGAAGTTTATCAAAGTTATTACTCAAGGTAGGAACTTGCATTGCACATAGTTCTCTAATGATCCCTTTATTTCTTGTTCCTGAAATAGACTGTAGTTTCCTACTCTTATAAATGAAAGTCAAGCTTTACTTAAGCACAAGGGGAGACCATGACTCAATTCTTCTGTACTGTTGGAAGCCCTATTGGTCATTGAGCCACAGCGTTCACGTTCACGCTCTTCAGTAGCCGTTTGTTAGAGCAGCTAACATAGTACTACATAGTAGTAACTAAGCCGATGAGCTTGGTCCACTTTCTGGGCTTTAAAAGCCTGCGTGCCTTCACTAGGAGCTTTTCTGTGTATGTCAGTGTTTTCCGTGCTTTCCTAGCTACGCTAATGATGCGCAACGTGTGCAGCTGCCTTTTCCCTTCCTCTTTTGCTTGAATTTTTGCTTACTTATTTGGGAGACAGAAAAATGGAGTCAGAGAGAGCTGCCATCTGCACGGGGGCCAGGTCTCCCACGTAGGGGGCCGAGATCCGGTTCCTTGAGCTATCAGTGCTGCCTTCCAGGGTCTCTTTCAGCAAGCAGCTATAGTGAGGACCAGAACTGGGAGTGGAGCCCCTGGCCCTCGACATGGGACTCCGGAGTCTTAACCACTAGGCTAGATGCCTGCCCCTCCTTCCTCAAAATTTTGAGCTGGAGTCACCTCCCCCTTCCCACGGAAGGAGGTCTGTGCTGCCCCTAGCGGCAGGAAGAGGCCATACCACCTTTACTCCAGGTGCCACTTGCAAAGCCTGGAACTCAAAGGGCCTGTGGGTTCCTGTGGGAAGGAACAGCTGCTCGCTGTGTCTGCCAGGCCATCTGAGGTGCGGACAGGCTTGGGTAGACTGAGATGCCTTTAGCTCTGAGCGCTTTAGGATGTGTGCATTTAAAAGTGTACGGTTTACGTCACTTGCCATAGTAAGCTGGTATTGAAACAAAGGCAGCAGCTTGTCCACCACGGGAGGGTCATCATGGTGTCACCCCGGGTGACGAGCTGTCGGAGAAATGGGGCATTTGGTAACTGTAAACTGTGTTTTGGTTTCTGTTTTCTGGTTGGTTTATTTGATTTGGCAGACTTTTTAGCACGTGTTACACACCACTTCTAAACAAACTAACTCTGGCTTTGATGAGGTCAGATCTTGTGTGGTTCTGTGTGTCCCTAAGAATTTTCCTGCACCTGGGCTTCCATCCATGGCTGGGAGCGGACACCAGGATTCCTGGGCTGATGGCTCTGCTCTCCCCTACAGACCGCTCCCCGGCCCACCCCATGCCCCTTAGCCGCTCGGCCTCCCTCAGTTACCCGGACCGCACAGATGCTGCGACCACAGCTACGACCCCCTTGGCGGGCAGCAGCAACCAGTTCGGTAGCTCCGTCCTGGGCCAGTACATCTCTGACTTCAGCGTGCGGGCGCTGATGGACCTGCAGTACATTAAGGTGAGTGCCTCCCAGGTCCTGCGTGCGGCTGCGTGTTTGCATCGCTCTGCTCTGGAACTGGCCACTTGCTGCCTTTCCCACTAAACCCGCCCCGAGGGCCAGGCCCCAGGGGGCTTTGGCTTCTTGCTCTTGGTCCTCCTCTTTGCAAGGGTTTCCAGAGGCTCTGCCTGGGTGCGCCTCTCTCGCCCAGGGCTGGCGCGGGGGTCTGCCTGCCAGCGCCCGCCCAGCATGGACTCACCCCGTCCTCCCACAGATCACGAGGCAGCAGTACCAGAACGGGCTGCTGGCCTCGCGCATGGAGAACAGCCCTCAGTTCCCCATGGACGGGTGCACCACCTGCATGGACAGCCCTGCCGAGAAATGTGAGCTGCCCGTGGTGGACGAGACGACGACGCTTCTCAACGAGCGCAACTCCTTGCTGCACAAAGGCTCCCACGAGAGCGTCATCTGACAGGAGGGCCCGGGGCCCCCCGCCCACCCTGCGGGGGCCTCCCCAGTGGGCCCGCATCAAGAGAGGGAGCCTGTACAGCCAGAAGGGTAGACGGCCATGGCCCAGCCAGCTGAGCAGCCAGATGGCCCCTGTGTGGGCATTTGGCCTCTCTGGGGGCCTCCGACCAGCTCGGAGGTGGCCGTGGCTACCTGGCCTGGACTGGTGGGACAGTGGGCTGGCTACCTTGAGCAAAGGCAATTTTTTACTGAAAGAATTTCTAAATGGGACTTAGTGCTCCTCTTTTTAAGTATCATTTTGGGAAGGGAAGACAGGGTTAAGGAACTTTATTTAAAAAAAATACAAACTTTTTTTTTTCTTCCGGAGGGGGAGGGTATCTCACCCCGGGAAGCAATAGCCATAATGTGCTCCCAGCCGTGACCTCCCAGCTTCTGTCCCTGACTCAGGGAGCCCACCCTCCCTTTCCTGCACCTGCTCCACCTCTGCCGCCACCTCCAGCTGCAGAGGTGGGACCCCAGAGCCTGCTGGGGGCGAGTTGTCTCTCGGGAAGAAGGCGGCTGTCCCCAGGAAGCAGAGCACCACGTGGTGTTGACATCAGTGGTGTGGACATGTGCACCGAGGCTGGTCTGAAGTCGCCAAGGCCGAGGGCTGCTGGATAACTGTGATCAGGGACACGATTATCTAGCTGTAGAGAAGAGCACACGTACTCCTGTCAACCGCTGGACCCAGGAGCCTCCCCGGTTGTCCCGGTGAGTCGGGGCTCAGCCGAGGACTCTCCCCCGCCTCCCATCTGCCCTGGGGACAATGTCCTCCTCCTGGTCCTGGGGCTGACTCAGAGCATCAAGTAGGGCCCCAGGCCTGTCTGATTGCTGCCCTGCCCTCACTCGTACCAAAGGTTGCCCCCTCAGCGGGGCTGGCATCTTCTACGTCGGACGTGACTTGTCAAGGTGACTCTGGCGTCTGTGTTGTTAGCAGCTAATCCCACCGCCACCTCACAAGGAGAGTCAAGGCTCAGCTGTCGCCATGAAGCCCTTTCCGGAACTTCCTGTTTCTAATCCCCAAACCTCACTCCTCCCGGGGGTTGGGGACAAGAGGACATGGTGGAAGCCACTGAGCAAGTTCTAATTGCCCTTTCTTCTGCGGCGGCCCAAGGCTCACCTGACCTTGTTCATCCACCTTTGGAATTCAGGAAAAGAGAGTTCTGCTAAAGGCATGCAGCTGGCGGCCCCCCTTCCCCGTGCCTGCGAGATCCTTGGGCAGTCACACGGGCCTTGTCTGCAGCCAGTGGTCCTGTACGGAAGGTGCCATCTGTGGGAAAGCCTTCCCGGCGCCTTTTTCCTGGGCTGACCTGACCCTGCCACAGAGCTCCAGGCTTCCGCTGGGGAGACCGTGGGACCAAGGGCTGTGTCGGCCCTTCTGTCAGGTGGGACAGAAGCTGGGGCCTTGAGATCCAGGTAAAGGAGACCGCGGGCCTCCCGCCTGAGTATTCACGCACTCCTGTCTCAGTCCACGGAGCCCTGTCACCCCAAGTGCTCTGCTTTCCAGCCGCCTGCCCCTGGCCAGTCTGAGTGCTTCCTCAGTCACAGAATTTACTCCTAAAAGCCTGAACGGTAGGTGGTGACACCCATGGGTTCTCATTCATCCATAAGGAAAAAAAGACATGGGACCTTTGGTCCCTGGTAGGGAAACCTCTTTGTTTTCTGCAGGAGCAGCTTGCTCCCGAGTCCTTGTAAGAGCCGGCAGAGCCACGTTCCTGAGCGATCCGTGTGCAGGCACAGCAAAACGCATCGGCCCCACCCAAGTGGGTGTGCGTGCAGCAAAAGGAGCAGGTGTACGCACTTCCACAGCTACCTCTGTGCACACACAGTTTCTACCAACAGGTGGTCCTTCCCCCGTTCCTTCCCCGTTACAATCACTTCTTGTAGAGGGTCATAATTATTTCCAAATATTACTGGTCCGATGACTTCCTCCTCCCAGTGCAATTTTTCACTTCCTATTCCAACCTCCGGTTCTTGGGCTGAGCCATACCCTGGACCTGGCCCACCCTGCTTGTCTTCCTTGTTAGGGAGACCTTTGCAACTGGCATCCAAATGGGTAGGCAAGTCACAGCCACCGTAGCAAGTAACTCCTATTTATTTTGCGTAAGATTTTAATTTGTATATTTTTGTGATTTATTTTGGCATTGTTATGAGTTTGACTCTCGGGGAGTTTTGTTGTTATGACTCTTGTGTCTTTTGTCACAAAACAATGATAATATTTGCTAAACAATATATGGAATTTATTTTTGATTGGTAATAAAAGATGAAATATATATAAATCTTGGTGAGCTGCACCTGGCATGTTTGAGTTGTGTCCGTGTTCCCTGTCTGTCACAGATGCAGAAGTGACTGTGGCTGGCTGTCACATAAGACAGGACAAGGGGCAGCAGAGTATCCTTAGGTCGTTTAGCAGGGAGAGGCTAGCAGAAATTAATTTACAAAATGGATCCACGGTCAAGGCTGTTGGCACAGGAGTCCAGAGTGGCAGGTGCTGGTAGACATCCAGGTGAAGTGCCCCGGGCCATGGCCACAGCCTGTGAACCAGCTGCCACAGGGGCTTAACCTGCAGCAGCTGGAGGCGCACCTGGGACGGGCAGCTCACCCCTTCCTTTCCTGGGAGCAGAGGGGTGAATGGAGCTTGATCCAGAAGTATGATCGCGTCTTTATACGCTGCAGCGGCGCTACTCCGGGGCCGGTTGTGGTTTCAAAGTTGAAGTGTTCATCCCTTGGACGCCTTGAGTGACAGTCACTTCCCTGCACCCACCCCAAAGCTGCAGCTGCACAGACCCCTCTTCCAGCACGTGTAGATGTTGCTGGCTGGTGGGAGCGATCAAGTACACTGAGGCCAGGGCTCCACAATCCTGGCTTAACTTGAGCAGACAGACTGGGGAGTCTGGAGGAAGGGAGGCACTTGGGTAAGTGACAAAAGGAAGAGGATATTCCAGAAGAAAGGAGGAACAAATAGAAAATGTGCGTAGGAGGGCTCCATCTGCTTCACACATCCAAGACCCACTACGGGCCAGGTGCTGCGGACTCATCAGTGAGTTCAGTGAGGAAGACCTCCTATGGAGACGGTCACACCAGGGCCTTTTGACTTGCTGTCTCCTTTGCTTAGGACACTTCTTCCGGGTGGAGTGAAGCTCACCCCCTATTTTAAGTCTCTGTTCAAATGTCACCTCCTTGTTGAAGGCTTCCCTGATTACCCCCATCTCAAACAGCATCTCCCAACCCTTCCCCAACCCCTCTGTCTCCTTATCTTGCCCTGCTTTTCTCTATAGCACTTACTGCTGTATATTTAAAAAACAGACTTGTGGGGCAGGCATTGTGGCACAGCCAGTTAAACCGTGGCTTGTGATATGCCAGCATACCATCTTTGAATCCCAGCCGCTCAGCTTTCTGCTAATGCGCCTGGGAAGGCTGCAGATAACGGCCCAAGAGCTTGGGTCCCTGCCACCCACATGGACGACCAGGGTGGAGTTTCTGGCTCCTGGTTTTGGCCTGGCCCAGCCCTGGCTGTTGTGGGCATTTGGGGAGTGAACCCGTGGATGCAAGAGACCTCTCTCTCATCTTTGTCCCTCTGCAGTGAGGGACCTTAAAGCCCGCTGATGCTGTGGATAAGCAGGGATGGGACAGAGAATGGCACGGAGCAAGGAACGAGCTGGTGAAGTGCTGGTGAATGCCACCTGGAGCAGCTTTGTTTGCCTCCTACTGGACGATGCGTATCTCTGGGTAGTCACACTTTATAAGTCTCATCCAGCTGTTCTGCCATGCAGAGTTGTTTTTTTCCTCCAAGAATTAGAATTGGTTGTTTCCCAAGGGTACTTGATGCAAGGTGTCCAGCGTGTAACAAATCTTCCCAGGCAGACGAATCAATTAATTCACAGGCTTTTATTGGGGTTCCGCTCCCTGGCGAGGTTCCCCAGTCCCAACAGAGCAACAGAGCAGGGGCCGGGGAAGTCGCGTGTCAGAGATTGGGAGAGCTCCTTTTATAGATACAGGGCATGGGGGTTAAAGGTTGAGGCGGGTCTGATCCTCATTGGTTGACCTTTAGGCACCCGCAGGGACCTTGACAAGGACTTTTCTTCCCCGCAAGTACAGGTAGGAACTTTCCATTCCCGGAAGTATAGGCCTTCCTTCCACGCAGATCCCAAAGCTACCACTTGAGACTAAGGAAAAAGTACCTCAACAAAGGTGAGAGCCCTGTCTCTAACTCCTCTCTCCTCTGGAACTGTTCTTCGCTAATTAACGACTTCGCAGGCACTTGACATGTTTGAAGCACATCCATCAGTTATCTCTCAATGTAGGCCTTTTACCTTGACTTGGAGACAGAGAAATGAGAACTAAAGAAGCTCAGTCCATTGAATAGGAGTAAAAATTTCTAGTTAACTAAGCTTAAGTTTTAAAAAAAATTTTGAAGTCAGTGTTTAAAATTTCTTTATCGAAGGAGGTGGGCACTGTGGCACACTGAGTTAACTGCATCTTGGGACACCCGCTTCCCACGTTAGAGTGCCAGTTCCACTTCCAAACCAGCTCTGCTAATGCACCCGAGAGGGCAGCAGATGAAGGTCCAAGTATTTGAGCCATGCCACACACATGGGAGACTCGCATGGAGCTCCGGGCTCCTGGCTTTGGCCTTGCCCAGCCGTGGCTGTTGCAGGCATTTGGGGAGTGAACCAGCAGATGGAAGATATCTTTCTCTGTCACTCTGCCTTTTGAATAAATAAATAATGACTCTTTGAAAAAAAAAAAAGGCAGATGATCACTTGGAAAGGCTCAGCGATGTCACCATTGCTCCTGTAAAATGCAAGAAAGGCCAACTGCTTGAAGACAAAGTGCCACCGAGACTAGGGAACATGGAGGGAGAGGCAGCTGTCCCAGTCTTGGTTCTGCGTTTATGTGAGGAGACACTATGACTGTCATCTTAAGAGTTTTTCACAAAATGTTTCCCCCTTGGTCAGACTCATTTTTGCACATTACTTTCCACACAGATATGTTTCACTTGATTGTGGCCACTCTGCATACTTTTTAATTTTTTAAACAATTTTTTTTAAGTTATATGACTGGCAGAGACAGAGAAAGAATCTGCCATCCGCTGGTCCACTCCCTAAATGCTGCCAACAGCCAGGGCTGGGCCAGGAGGAGGCCAGACCTGGAAACTCAATCTGGATCGACCCATGTGGGTGGCCAGGACCCAAATCCTGGAGCCATCTTGCTGCCTCCCAGGGTGCAGATGATCAGGAAACTGGGATCGGGAGTGGAGCTGGGACTCAAGTCCAGATGCCTATATGGAATGTGGTGTCCCAAGGGGCTTCTTAACTGCCATGCTAAACATCTTCCCCTAAACTTATAAACTGTCGTTTTCATGACAGAGCAAGTTGGCACGGGGCTATCCGCCTTTAAAAAAAAAAAAAAAACCGCAAAAGTGTAGAGAAGAAATAATAAGCTCAGCTGCAGGGGCCAGCCTGAATGCAGTTAGACTAGAAAGGTCGTGCATCACCCTACACTGCGCGGTCCTGAGGAGTTTCTCGGCCTCGGACTGACGGACTGCCAGGAGCCGGGCAGGGATTCCTGACATCGCGGCTACGGCCACGCCGACGCCTCGGAACCCAACACGCCCGCGGAGTCTTCCTGGACTTCGCCTTTCTCCTGTCAGACACTAGTTACACCGAGTAGCTGTGAGGATCCAGTGAGGCTGGGATCTTGTGTGCACGTTTCCACCACACGTCTCCCCGGCGGGAACGCGAGTTCCTTGAAGACGGGGCCTGTGTTGGCGTCCCGGGGCCTACAGCCGCAGTTAAACCTCGGCACAACCCCAGCCGCTGGTTCTGGCTCCCAGGGCCCGTTCCTAGGAAAACAGCACGCTCCCACTCGCTTCCATCTCCGTCGGCAACTTCAGGTACGCCGGGACCCGCGGCTCAGGCGAGCACCCGCTCCCGCTCGGTGCTCCAGTCCCGAGCAAGGGCCCGCGGCTCCCGCGAGGCCTCGGGACGGGTCGGAGGCCCTGCCCGCCCCGCCACGCCCCAGCTCGCGGCTCCGCGTCCTCCGAGAGCCGGCCACCCAGTGCCTTCGGAGCGGCGGCGGGGCTCGCTGGGGCGGAGAACCCCACGCCCCCGGCCCGCCCCGCGCCGCCGCTTGTTTACTCCCCGGCGCAGCCTAGTCCGACCCTAGGGCCCGCCCCCGCCCGCCGTCTATTGGCCGAGGGGGCGCGAAGGCCGGTCATGATTGGGCCGCGGGAGGCGGAGGCCGCGGGACGAGCGGGGTAGGCTGCGCGAGAGGCCGAGAGGGGGCAGCAGGCGATGGCGGCGGCGGCGGCGGGTCGGCTGGGCTGGTTGTTCGCCGCGCTCTGCCTGGGCAACGCCGCGGGGGAGGCGACGCCAGGTCTGCGAGTGTTGGGCTTCTGTCTGGAGGAGGACGGAGGAGCGGTGCGGGCCGCGCCGGAGGCCACCTTCCGCCTGCGCCTCTTCGGCTCCGGGTTCGCCAATAGCTCTTGGACCTGGGTGGCCCCGAAGGGGTCGGGCTGCCCCGAGAGTGGGTCGACCGCGGCGCCCGAGGAGGAGGCGGGGGCGGCCCCCACGGACGAGTGGCGCGCGCTGCTGTGCCTGCGCTCCGAGACCGTGCGCCCGCACTCGGCGCTGCTAGCTGTGCGCGTGGAGCCGGGCGGCGGGGCGGCTGAGGAGGCGGCGCCACCCTGGGCGCTGGGCTTGGGGGCGGCCGGGCTGCTGGCGCTGGCGGCGCTGGCGCGGGGCCTGCAGCTGAGTGCGCTGGCGCTGGCGCCGGCCGAGGTGCAGGTGCTTCGCGAGAGCGGCTCGGAGGCGGAGCGTGCGGCGGCGCGGCGACTGGAGCCCGCGCGGCGCTGGGCCGGCTGCGCCCTGGGCGCGCTGCTGCTGCTGGCCAGCCTGGCGCAGGCGGCGCTGGCGGTGCTGCTGTACCGCGCAGCCGGCCAGCGCGCCGTGCCCGCCGTGCTGGGCTGCGCGGGGCTGGTGTTCCTAGTGGGCGAGGTGGTGCCGGCCGCCGTGAGCGGGCGCTGGGCGCTGGCGCTGGCGCCGCGCGCGCTCGGCCTCAGCCGCCTGGCGGTGCTGCTCACCTTGCCGGTGGCGCTGCCCGTGGGGCAACTGCTGGAGTTGGCGGCGCGCCCCGGGCGGCTGCGCGAGCGCGTTCTGGAGCTGGCACGCGGCGGTGGCGACCCCTACAGCGACCTCAGCAAGGGCGTGCTGCGCTACCGGACGGTGGAGGACGTGCTCACGCCGCTCGAGGACTGCTTCATGCTGGACGCCAGCGCCGTGCTGGACTTCGGCGTCCTGGCCAGCATCATGCAGAGCGGCCACACGCGCATCCCCGTGTACGAGGAGGAGCGCTCCAACATCGTGGACATGCTCTACCTCAAGGACTTGGCCTTCGTGGACCCGGAAGACTGCACGCCTCTGAGCACCATTACGCGGTTCTACAACCACCCGCTGCACTTCGTCTTCAACGACACCAAGCTGGACGCCGTCCTGGAGGAGTTCAAGCGAGGTAACGGCTGGGGCACCGCAGAGGGGATGTCCGTGCCCGAGCTTGGCCCTGGGGAAGGAGAGGGGCTCATGGGACCGTCGGGGAAAAGGCCCCACTCCTGGAGAGGGCAGGGGGCCCTCTAAGGGCCGGTTTTAAGAGGGTGGTCGCGTTGCAGATGGGAATGACCTTTTAAAGTGTTTAAGGACCCCGCCCTTCAGAGGGGACAGAGTGCCATGGAACGCAAACACCTCTCTCTCTCTCTCTCTCTCTCTCTCTCTCTCTCTCCACGGTGGCCCCCGTGTTGGGGACATACCTCTCACTGATTCTAACCCTCCGGGGTCTTCCCGGCTCCCAGGCCATTTCTGTTGTGCCTGGGGTCGGATGTAGCAGATTGAAACTCTTGGATAGAAACTAAAAGGACACGGAGAAGGTGGCTTCCAGATCCGGGCCTAGCTGCCCCTGTGGTGTCCCCAGGGCGTTGGTGGGGTCCCTGGCTGATGGCTGTTTTTCTGAGTGACAAGGGCATGACTCATCAGTACTCCTCCTTTCCTACAGGTATGGAGAGAACTTTCTCTTTGATTTCATCAGAAGCAGCTTCGTGGATGCTGATTTAATCTCTCCTTCCCCTGACTTCCCCTTTTTTTTAAACCTCCCCTCAGGGTCTCTCAGCTTCTCCTCTAGCTCCTTTTCACCCCTCCTTTCAACCCTGGCTTTTCTGAGTGACTCCAAGGTTGAAGGTAAAACAGGCCCTCAGCGTGTGAAATGTGGGTCCCTCTGCAGCCGTCTGCATTGTCAGCCTTGGGGGTGCTATGTGCTTCTCTCACCTGAACTCCCGCAGGATCGGGGTGGGGGCACCCCGTGCTGTGGACGGGCTGTTAGCACGTGAGCAGAGCCCTCCGACAGCCCTGGCAGGAGTGACCATGGTCCTCCTGCACTGGGCACAGCCTCGGGCCAAACCCTGGTAGGTGCGTTGCACTCCACATGTCTTTTAATTCTTGGACCCACAGCTGTGTCTGGTCTGGTGGACTCTCTGGGGGCCCTGGCTCCTTCCCTTCAACGTGGCCATGCAGCCCTACTCTGGGGAGGGCTTTTGTGTGGGGCCCAGACACAGCGTGCTGGTGGCAAGTACTCTGTCTAGATCCCAAACAGTGGGCTCTCTCGAGGCGTGGTGGTCAGCAGTGTGGCCCTGGAGTCAGCCAAGTGCGTTCCATCCTGCCTGGCCTGCACTGTGCTCCTGGGCCCAGGGAAGGCTGCCTGCCTCTCCCGGCTCAGGGTCCTCAGTGGTTAGCGATAGGAGGGGTAATGAGAGGATCGGGGAGAGGAGATGCTGGGCGCCGGGGCCTGGGTGCTCGTTGCTAGGAGGGTGATGATTGCTCCCGGCTGGGAGCTCTGCAGATGGGTAGGTTCGCCTACTCCTGGGGAACCAGTAGCAGAGGTCACACTGCAAGTGCAGGCTTTATCCCTTCTGCGTAGGGAACTTGTATAGAGGCCACAGCTGTCCCTTTGATGGCCTAAGCTGTCACATTTCAAGGGGTCTTAAATGCTCGGCTCATTCAAGTGCCTGGCACCAGCTTCTAAGCAGTCACCTGGAGGGGATGTGGGGCAGTGGGGAGGAAAGGGTCGCCCTCCCCCCATCTGGAACTGAAGCGAGAAGCTTCGGGAGTTGGTCGTGGTGTTCAGGATGAGGTCTAGGCGGGCCGTTCTCCACTTTCCAGACCCTTAGGGTCAGGCCAGGTGAGCTTGGCTCAGGGCTGTTGTGCCTCCCAACCAAAATGCTCACGGAGGCCGGGCGGGCTTGGGCTCACGTGCGTGACTTGCACTCGGTCGCCGAGGTCTTCAGTGAGCGGTGGCTGGGACGGAAACCAGGATGCCAGGATCCAGATGAGAGGTGATGAGAGCAGAGCGGCCACAGTGCTGTGCCCTGGAGGGGAGACTCGGGAGGCTGTGGCGATGGGGTTGGGAAGATTCGGTGGTCACCCCAGAGTCGTGAGGAAGAGCCCGGTTTCTGCCCGCACGGGGGTGTTGCCCTTCCCAGAGTCAGGGTGGCGTGCAAGTGAGCTTGTTTTGGGCATTGGCATTTGTGCCTGTGCAGTGTCCCAGGAAGCAAACTCCCAGCAGGCGGCTGCTCTTGAGACACAAGGGCAAGGCTGGGGCAGGAGGGGAGCACACGAGCAGAAGGGGTTGGACGGTCGGGTCGGGAGGAACTGCCCAGAAGAGGCGAGAGCGCTGAGGGAGGAGCAGAGCCAGAGACGCGGCGTTTCCCGGAAGCTGAGGGCAGAGATCTGGGAAGGCGAGTGTGGTTGGGGAGGAGGCCGCAGCCAGGATGTGCGTGGCCTTTGCAGAGAAGCACTGGGGCAGTGAGTGGGACAGGAAGACGCACACGCCCTGAAGCAGACAGGCCCTTGGCGAAATGGGGGCCCCCGGCTCCTGAGCTTGAAGATATGCCGGTGGGCAGGTTTCGGTGGAAACGTTGAGGAGGAAAGAATTGTCGGGCGGGGGGCGGGGAGGGGCACGATACAGGCTGCTCCCACTCTGAGCAGCTCTGGGGAACCGAGCAGGTTTTCAGACAGGCTGATGCCGGAGGGTTTGGGGATGGAAGGACTTCGTGCCTCAGTCAGAATGTTCCAGAAGCTGCCTGACAGTGCACTGGAGGTCGAATGGGGAGCCCTGTAGCCCCCTTGACTCCCTCAGTCGTGGGGACTGAGGCCGTCCTTGGGGCAGAATGGCCCCGCCTTTCCAGCGACTTCCTGGAGCTTTCTCTGCACGTCCAGCTCAGAGCAGCCCCGACAGAACCTTTGTGTCTGTCTGCCCGTCGGTCCTAACCTCCTCACGCATTCTTCTGCCTGCAAGCAGTGGGCATATCGCGGCCCTTGTGGCAGGTGAGGTTTTGAAAGTCAGTTTCCTTTTCTCTCTGTCATGCGTCTGAGGCGGAGGTGCCCTCGAACCTGCTGGAGCTGGACGCCTTGGCATCTTAGCAGCTACTGTTCTGCACCCCATTCCTCTCTGGCCAAGCACCATGTGTCGGGGGACCTTGTGTTGTGGGGAGAGGCGCCCCTCAGGCAGGGCGGACTATCTTGTGCAAACTTCACAGGAAACGCAAGTGCTTCCAAGCGGTGGGGAATGACTGGTGTTTTGTGTCAGGCCACTAACCCCTGCCTTCTGTGTCAACCCCAATAAGACTCTTCAAGGGCATTCGGCCACAGAGAGGATGGGGGTGGCAGGAGACTGCAGAGTTCCGGTTTGCTGTCTGAGAAGCCAGATGATTGCCACGGGCCTGGACAGCAGGGAGGAGCGTTGGTAGCGCCTGATTCCTCCGAGCCTCACGTTCACACAGTTCACTCAGAAACCAAAGGGGAGGCGGGGGTCGCGGTACAGCTGCTGCTTGGGATGCACGTATCCCATCGCAGGACGCCTGGGATCGAGGTCTGCTTCACTTCCGGTCCAGCTTCTCGCACTGAGAGGCAGCAGATGATGGCGTGAGTACCTGAGTCCCTGCCGCTCCCGTGGGAGTGGATGGGGTTCCTGGCCCTCAGCTTCGGCCTGATCTCGCCCTGCTGTTAAGGGCATTTGGGAAGTGAACCAGCTGATGGAAGATACCTCTCTTGTCTCTGTCACTCTGCTTTCAAATAAATAAGCATTTCTTAACGAAACAAAAAGGAAAGGAGGAAAAAATTCAGCCCCAGCTGCACAGTTGAAGGTCCTAGGAGTTATGCAATACGAAAGGGTCAGTCCTGCCGCGCCCAAGTAGCAGAAGCGCCCTTGAGCCTGCTGACCACGATTTAAACTGTAGCGCTGTCCCAGAGCTTTCTGGGTGCGGGAGCGGGTCACACCATCTACCTGCCCGTGGCTGTGTCCGCTGGCTCGAGGGAGCCGTCAGATGAGTAAACGCGAGTCCCCTACAGTGCCCTCTCTGTGTCTCCATACTGCTTCCTCCGGGTGCCTTCTGGGCCCGGGCTGAGTTCATCGCGTGGCCTCTGTTCAGGGACTCTTCCGGAGGCCCTGCTTTCTTTGTTCATTGTTGGGTCATGCCAGTGTGACCTGTCACAGAGGAACGCGTGTATGTTTGACAGGCGTTTGCAAGCAAGGAGCTTTCTCTGGGTAACTGCCACAGGGACCAGATGTCTGCAAGGAGGGGCTGAGGTGAGGCCGCCCCCTGCCCTGAGACCGCCATTTAGAGCCTGGGCCTTGGTTCTGAGAATCCAGAGACTGTCATGCCGTTGGCCCTCCTGGTCTGGCCTGACCAGGGATGTGTTGTGTGGCAGGGCGGCCCTGACCCCTGTAAAAATGGGGCCCCAGACGGGCAGGGGAAGCATCTGGCAACCCCATGCTCTTCAGTGCTTATGGCTTAGCAGGACTCAGTGTGTTCTCCAGGGACTCTGGTCTTCTCAGGGAAAGGGGGACAGCTACTTCAGCTGGATTTCTCCCTTTAATGTTTCCTTAAACGTGACAGATTTTTCTGGGTTTTTTTTTTAAGATTATTAGGCAGAGAGAGAGAGGTCTTCCATCCGCTGGTTCACTCCCCAAATGGCCGCAATGGCTGGAGCTGGGCTAATCAGGAGCCAGGAGCTGCTTCCCAGTCTCCCACGCAGGTGCAGGGGGACCATCTTCCACTGTTTTTCCAGGCCATAGCAGAGAGCTGGATCGGAAGAAGAGTAGCCAGGATTCCAACCGGTGTCCATGTGGAATGCTGGCACTGTAGGCAGTGGCTTTATCCTCTATGCCATAGCGTCGGCCCTGAAGTTATTTTCACCTCTTTTGATTATTTTTTCTAAAGCAGGTACTCAAAGATGTTAAATTACATATATATGTGGTTTGCATCCTGTTTCTTTAAGACAAGTCTGAAGTTTTCTGAATGAAAAGCACTTAGTTGATGTACACAGTAAATTCCTGTAGTTTCCCTAGTATTCCCCAATACTCTGAGACGTGGGCGATTTTTAAGCTTCTGTTTCCTCACTAAACCCAGTTGGGAGCTAACAGAAGGACACAGGGGAAGAGAGGGAGTTCCAGCTGCTGCTCTTGCTGTCCAGACTGGGCCCCAAATGGCTGCTTGCTCAGCCGCATCCCCTCTAGGACCGCTGATGCCCTGCAGGGAGTGTACCCCAGTTCCACTGTCCCTGGGGGTCTGTGCCCTCAGGAGCACATGTCTGCAGCCTGGTTGCTGTGCAAGGTGCTCATGTGTTCTGCACTGGGTGCATCCGTGTCTACACCGCATCTGTGGCTTGAACGCCACGCCTCTGGGGCTGAATCCTGGCTCTGCTCTGCCTGGGCAGCCTCATGCAGGTGAACGTGATCTCTGAGATTTCATCTCCTCCTGTGTAAAATGAGACTGCTCCTCCTAAGTGTGTGAGGCTTAGCGAGGACCTAGGAAGAGCGCAGCCTAGTGCCCAGCACGTTGTGGAAACACGGATGTCCGTGCCCGTCCTTCTGGTGCGCTTGTACTGGAGGGACCGGAAAACAAAAAAAGGCCTCCAGGAAGTTGTTACGTGAGTGTCCCCCCTCCACAGGGAAGTCCCACCTGGCCATCGTGCAGAGGGTGAACAACGAGGGGGAGGGAGACCCCTTCTACGAGGTCCTGGGCCTGGTCACCCTGGAGGACGTCATCGAGGAGATCATCAAGTCCGAGATCCTGGACGAGTCGGAAGACTACCGTGAGTGCTGACCCCTGGCAGCTCCGTCTGCTGCTCCCTCGAGCCTCCTGAGATGCACGTGTGTGTGTGTGTGAGTGTGTGTGTGTTGGTGGGTCTCCATGCTGCTGGAAACCACCGGATCCCCAGCCAGAGCTGTCATCAGGCCCCATTGTCCTCAGCTCTGCTGGGCCAGTGCCGCCCCTTGCAGCAGGGCTCACACCTGTGCCCCCGTGCAAGTCCTGGCAGCCTCTCCCACCGGCGGCCTTGCAGTCCCCATGTGAAGTGTGCTGGGGACTTAGCAGTCCTGTGTGGTTCCTGTCCCTGGGAGGGCTCTGCCCTTCCTGACCTTCTCCACCCTTCTGCCTTTCTCCCTGCTTTGGTTTTTGCAGGTTGGTTTTGTATCACAGAGCGTCTCCCCAGACAGCCCGTCCCTCCCAGAGGGGGTCTTCCCAGCGGGCAGTCCTGAGGCCCTTGATTGCCTCTGTTCCTCTAAGATGAGAGCTGGGCTCTGCGGGACAGACCAGGGCCTGTCCTTGACGGCAGGCCCCTCGCCCCAGTTCTCGGGACCCTGAGCCTCCCACCTGTACGCGCTTGCAAAGCATACTGCTTGGCCCAGGCGTCTGTCCCCAAACACAGTCCCTTTGCTTTGGTTCCTGAGATTGCCGTAGGCACAGGGGCACCAGGTTAGCTGCTACCATTTTGCACCCCTTGTCCTCCAATACACACCCCTCAGTGAGGAGTCTTAGTGGGCAAGAGGGCCTGCTTTTAGTTTCATTTTTAGGATTTGTTTTAGTATGTATTTGAAAGAGGGACAGATTGGGGGGAGGGGGTTGCGGGGAGAGATCGTCCATCCGCTGGTCTACTCTTCAAATGGCTGGGACAGCCAAGGCTGGACCAGGCTGAAGCCAAGAGCCTGGAATCCATCCACATCTCCTGTGTGGCGCAGACACTTGGGCCGTCTTCCACTGCTTTCCCAGGCCCGTTAGCAGGGAACTGGATCGGGAGTGGAGCAGCCAGGACTTGAACTGGTGCTCATGTCACAGGCAACAACTTAACCCGATCTACCACAACACTGCCTCTGGCCTGTTTTTTTTGTTTTGTTTTGTTTTTTTGTTTTTGTTTTTTTAAAGATTTAAGATTTGTTTATATGTTTCAAAGGCAGAGCTACAGAGAGAGAGAGGTCTTCCATCTGTTGGTTCACTCCCCAAAAGGCTACAGTGGCCAGAGCTGAGCCCACCTGAAGCCAGGAGCCAGGAGCTTCTTCTGGGTCTCCCACGCAGGTGCAGGGGCCCAAGGACTTGGGCCATCTTCTACTGCCTTCTCAGGCCACAACAGAGAGCTGGATCAGAAGTGGAGCAGCCGGGTCTCAAACTGGCGCCCATATGGAATGCCGGCACTGCAGGCGGCGGCTTTACCTGCTAAGCTACAGAGCCGGCCCCTGGCCCGTTCTTTATAAGCTGCTTTGCTCTCCTATCAGCGTTTTCTTCACCCGACTCCAAGGCAAGGAGTGGTCCTTTGTGTACTTCTTTGGGACGTATTTTGAGTGTGGGATACTGCCCCGCTCTGTCCCAGGCTCGAGATCACTGTGTGTTAGGAATGGCATCAGGTGCTGACCAGGGAGCAGTGCCCAGGAGGTATCCCTGGGCTCTGGTGCCATCTCTGAGAACCCCGAGCCTCGGGAAGAAGAGGTAACAGGGCTGCTTGGAGGTGCCGGTGACGCCCATACTCACTGTCGTCTTACCTCCTCAGGGGAGACCCTGGCAAGGAAGAGGCCGGCTTCTCTGAGTGCCCCTCTCAAGCGGAAGGAGGAATTCTCCTTGTTCAAGGTGTCTGATGATGAATATAAAGTCAAAATCTCCCCTCAGCTGCTCCTGGCTACCCAGCGCTTCCTTTCCCGAGGTGAGGGGAAGGGAGGTTCTCGCCCCTGCTCTCTCTCCCTGTCCAGTGCGTCAGGACATGGCCCGGGCAGATGCGTGCTCTGCTGCCCGTTCCCAGGAAGCAGGACTGTGCTGCTGTCTGCAGCCCTGGCGTGTCTGTCACCTGAGGGGTTCTTTTCTGCCAGGTGGCTGAGAGCGAGACCGGGCTGAGGCCCCCAGGCAAGCCACAGGCAGGGAACCTCAGCCGGGCAGGTGTGGGGGGATGCCAGGCTCTCCCGTGTTGTGTCGCGGAGGCCACGCCGGAGAGCCAGGGGGCTGTGGGAGTCAGGTGTGGTCACACGGGCTGCCTTTCCCACTGTGGATCAGAGGTGGAAGTGTTCAGCCCGCTGCGGGTCTCCGAGAAAGTCCTGCTGCACCTGCTGAAGCACCCCAGTGTCAACCAGGAAGTGCGGTTTGACGAGAGCAACCGCCTGGCTGCACACCACTACCTGTACCAGCGCAGCCGGCCGGTGGACTACTTCATTCTCATCCTGCAGGTAACGGGCCCCGGGCCTGGCGCAGCCGGGGTCCTCAGGAACCAGGGAAGGGCCTGCCCGCAGGGGTGGGAGCAGGGACATCAGGTACGCTCCCCTGTGCTCTCCTCTGGTGGGAAGTGTAACTGTGCACCTCTGTTTGTCCCTGCCCCGCCTCCCTCCCAGGGCAGAGTTGAGGTGGAGATTGGGAAAGAGGGCCTGAAGTTCGAGAATGGGGCCTTCACCTACTATGGAGTGTCTGCCCTGACGGCGCCGTCCTCGGGTAAGTGTGGCCTCTGCCGGAGCTGGGGGCTGACCCACTGGCTCGCAGGGCCCCCAGCCATGCTTCCTGCAGGTGTTGCCCAGAGGGCGGGGCGGCATTTGTCCCTTGCTCACCCCATCCCTGCAGAACTGTCCCTGATGTAGTCTTCCTCCCCCGGGTCTTCCCCACACTCTCAAGGCTGATGTGTGGGGACAGCGCTTAGGGCTGTGTGTGGAGGGCTGCCCGCATCCCACCTTGGCCTCTGTCCTCACTGATTGTTCCTTTCAATAGTTCACCAGTCCCCGGTGTCCTCGCGCTCACCTGCCTGCCGTGACCTGCAGCCCGAGACAGCTGATGGCACTCGCTCTTCTACGTATTGTCCTGACTACACCGTGAGGGCCCTGTCTGACCTGCAGCTCATTAAGGTGACCGCCCGGGCTGCTCGTTGGTGCTGGTTTTATTTCTTTACTTGAGAGACACAGAGTTCTCAGTCCACTGGTTTGCTCCCCAAATGCCTGCAGCAGCCAGGTTGAAGCCAAGAGCTGGGAACTCAGTCCTGGTCTCTGGTATGACGGGCAGGGACTCAGTTACTTGAGCCGTGTCCTGTTGCCTCCCAAGGTGCACATTCGTAGGAAGTGGGAATTGGGAGCGAAGTTAGAATTTGAATCCAGGCAGTCTCAGTAACCACTAGGCCAAATGCCCACCCCAGCTCTGTTGTCTCTGTGAGGCTAGACCGACTGGTGACAAGTTTGTATGGGTTGAAAGCAAACCGATTCTGTCCCAGACTGCCCAAGGCCCTGTGCTCGGCCTGCAGGAGACCCCTAGACTGCTGTGGTCCAGGCCTCGGCCCCTGCCTCCCTCTGAGGCCTGACACGTTCTGCCTGACCGCCCTTCTCTGCTGTTCTCAGCTCTTATCCTTTCCCTCCCGGTGTGATTCTCCGCTCTAGGTCAGGTGCTTTGTGTGCGACCCCTTGTACCTCCTCATCTTGATTTACAAATTGCATCAGCTGGGTGATGTGTTCTGTGCTCCAGGTTACACGGCTGCAGTACCTCAATGCACTCCTGGCTACCCGAGCCCAGAGCCTGCCACCGTCCCCTGAGAGTGCCAACCTCCAGGTCGTGCCAGGCAGCCAGACCAGGCTCCTCGTTGAGAAGACTGCTGCAGCCGGTAAGCCTCGGGGGCACGTCCTGTGGTCTGAGTACCCAGGGGGCTGTGCGCCGGCAGTCCTGGCAGCTGACACACACACACACACACACACACACATACACACGTGCGCGCTCTCTGCCCTGCTTTTTCTGTTTTTCTCCCCAGCCCTGTCCCTTGTGTTGGACGACACCGAGCAGTAGACCAGTTGGCATTTGAAGTAAAACATGAAGTCCCCGTGTTCCCTTGAAGGCCTTTCAGGATGGGTTCTCCTAACTGGGGAACAGTTGGTGAATGGGAATAAGATCACATGCAGGCTGTTCTGGCCGTTCAGGGTTAGGGTTAGGTCACTTGGGCAAGGAGAATCTGGTCACCAAGGGCCCGGCTCAAAGGTGGATGACTGCGGGCACATCAGAAACGAGAAGGGCCCCTGCTGAGGAGGGGGCAGGACAGGCGCTGTCCTGCCGGGGGCTCCGTGGTGGGCAGGAAGACCCGGCCCGCACTGTGAGAGGGCGTGGGATAGCCAGCCCCACAGTGGAAGGAGGGCTCTGTCGTGTGGGCTGTGGGTTGGAGGAGTAAAAGGGGAGCCTTCCGGTTCTTATCCTGTAAGACAGTTGCGTCAGGATGCGCCGGGCCGGGTACCCTGCTTCCTCCCCCGACCCCGCAGCCAGTGAGGAAGACGAGCCCTGTGGGGTGCGTGCCTCGCTGGTCTTACGTCCCCGGTCTCAGGTGGTGGTGGGCACGTCCATTCTGCAGGTGAGGAGCACGAGTCAGGGCGCAGGTGCCTGGAGAGCCCCTCAGAGAGCAGACCTGCTCACCTAGGCCTGCGCCTCAGAATCTGACCACACGCTTCTACCAGAAGGGTCCTTTCTGAGTTGGGAGGTGGCATGCAGGAGTGATGGGCAGGAGGCCTTCCCCGTGCCGGGGTGATGGCTCAGCCCCGGGGCTGCAGCTCTGACTGCACGTGAGGCCTTGTTCCTCAGGGCCTCTGGAGGAAGGCAGCCTTTCTGGGGCGCTGCGCCTTCCTGGGCTGACGGGGTCCTGCCTTTACTCCCTGTGATGGGGTGTCCCCCGTGTGGAAGCTCACGCCGTCGTGTTAGCCTTAGATCCCAAAAGCCGAGAGGTTTTGCCTTGCTAAATGTGAGCCTTTGGTTCTGGTTTTCCCCACACTGAGTCCCTCTGCCCAAGGTGCACACCTGGTCCAGGAGTGGCCACGCGCCCTCTCTGCCTCCTTGATCAAACATCTCAGAACCTCCAAACCCTCTGTGCCCCAGCTGCTCGTCGGGCAGTCCTGTGAGTCACTTAGAGCAGCTCTGTGGGACGTCTGCTCTCTAACAGATCCTCCGCTGTTTTGTAGACTTTATGTTGGTGACTGTCACCTACGTGCAGTCTGACATTTGCCCCCAGTGAGGCCTGCCTGTCTTTCTGCTCTCTTCTTCCTGGGGTTGTCCCTGAGCACTGGGCACCTCCCTCCCCAGAAGAGCCTAGTGTCGCTGCGCAGGTGGCGACTTCCCTGGGGCCCCACTCAGGGCAGGTGAGAACCAGTCTTTGGAGACTTGGGCTCTCGAACTTTAAATTGTCTGCAGCAGGGGCAGCAGACTGGTGCGGAGTTGTAACAGACCTGCAGCATCTAGAAATGCAGTGCTTTACCGAAGACGTTTCCTGGGCCCCCCATTTCAGGTTCTGAGTAAATTCTCCCTGTCAGCCACCTCAGGCACCTGGCTTCCCTGCGGTCCTGCACGCCAGCACCTGGCCCGCGGCGCTGCCCTGGGCCGAGAGGCTTCACTGTTGGGGCTCAACTGCTGTCTCCTCTTTCTTCCCCTCTGCTCTCTTCAGCCTTCCCAGTAGACATTTCCCTCTTTGGCACATTTGGAAACTGCAGTTGATAAATGACTGTGGACTAGTGAGCATTTTTTTGTTTTAAGAAAACACCCAAGGTAAATATCTTTTCTTTCCTTTTTCCTTTTGCTTTCCTTTCCCGGCCTGTTAGCTGCCGGCGGGGTCCCCAGGCAGCTCTGTGCAGACTAGGGCCGGCTTTCCCGGGTCGGGTGGGGTGGGGGAGTGGGTGTGGCAGTCCCTCTTGCTGGGAGATGGGAGGCGATGAAACACCTGCTCTGTGTCCTGCCAGCACCGCATGCAGCTGTCCAGGGCAGGTGCTGTTGCCCAGCACAGCGGCCTGGACACCCTGGGGTCAGAAGCCCACGGCCCCTGCCTCCCCACGGCACCTACCCTAGGGTGATCTCCTCTCAGGAGGCCGAGGTAGGCGGTGGACGGAGCAAGCACTCCCAGCTCTGCCTTGCTGCTTCCTCAGGTGCCTTCCCTGCCCCTCCTGTTCTAAGAGGACTTAGCTTGTCTTGTGAGGCCCTGCTCCCCTTAGGAGCTGACATACTGACTCCTCTTTCCCTCTCTCCTTCAGGGTCTAACCACAGCAGGCCCAGCGTCCCAGTGGAGGAGAGCCCTGGGCGGAACCCAGGAGTTTAACTGCTTGCCAGGCAGCCCCGAGCCGGGGAACGGACAAGCACGTGGGAGCTGGCGGGAGCCGAGAAGTCCCCACCCCCTGCAGGCCACGTTGTAGATGGCCCTTACTGGTGTGGGTCCTGGGCCGCCGCAACCAGACGGCAGTGCCAGGAGCCGTGAGCAGGCCCTGCTGTCCTGTAGGAGATGGGGGTCAGCTGGGGCATAGCCCTCCGGGCCTGCTTCTGGAAGCAATGAAAGGAGCAGCATCATCTCTAGTCCCCTCTCCCCGCTGGCTGTGGGGACAGCGCAGTGTGTCTACACCTCTCTGGGCGCAGCCCCTACGTGAGTGCAGTCACTGCCTTCTTGGCTGTGACCTGTCCTTTGCTGTCCATTTGCCAACCTTTCGCTGCTGGCAGCACTGTGAGCACCAGTGCCGACTGGGGGTGCAGACCCGCGGCCTTGTCCAGGCTGTACTTCCTGGCTTCCCTGAACAGTGCCATGTTGGAGTGCACACTCCCCAGCCTGTCCCGTGTGCGCGAGCCCCACAAGTGTGTCCCTCTGGTCCTGCTCCCTCCTGTGGAGGTTCCCGGCCCCCTGGCAGAGGCTTGCCCGGCACAGCTCTGCTGCCTGCTTGCTGTGCTTAGTTGCCGTGAATGGTATTGTCAGTTTCTGTGTTTCCAGGAGAGAGCACGCACGGCAGGAAGGGGTCTTTACGCTGCATCGAATCCTTTCGTTAGCGGCTGGCAGGGGAGAGGAGCCACCTGGTGCACCTTTCTCAGGCCTCCCGGGAGCAGGGTGTGGCTGGGAGGTGCAGGGTGTTGGCGGAAAGGATCGTCTGAGTCGGGCGTCCTTTCACCACTCTTGAAAAGAAAAAAAAGTTGCACGTTTTCCTTGTGTCTCTGAAACAAAAGTTCCTTGCATTTTTCTGTCTGAGAAGTGAGAGTAAGAAGGCGTTTTCTCATTTTCCTCTAATTTGCTGTAATTGCTTCTCACAGTTGAGCTGTGTGGAAATGGGCGTCACAGACAGGAGTGTAGTCTGGGGAGGGAGGATGGTTTTTGGAGGCTTTCTCAAAGAAATTGGGGCCCTCATATGTGGACAAGAGGCTGAAAGAACAGTGGTATGCAGGCTTAGGAACTGCTGTCAGGGCACACGCTCCAGGGGCAGGCCCTGGTGGGCACAGATACTTGAAAACGTCATCGCTGTGCAGAACAGGGGCTTGGAACCTTGGCTACGTGTCAGGATACCTGACAGGTGAGAGGTGCTAGTATCCGCCCCCCCACCCCACCCCCTCCCAGCTTTGACTTAGAGTCTAGGCACCAGGGTTTTATTTTTGAGATGTTAACATCTTACACAACTTGGGTACCTTAGTCAAAACTAAAAAGTTAACATTCGTGTGATACTGTTAACCACACTACAGATTTTATGTGGAGTTTACTATTTGTTCCAATAATGTTCTTGTTCTTGTTGGAGGGCCCAGTCCAGGATACCAGGTTGCACTTGTGATTTTGTTTTTTTTTCCCCTTGCAGTAGTTACAGATCAATAGGAAGTTGCAAAGGTAGAGGGCTCCTGCGCCCTCTCTTCAACACTGGACACTGGTGTGCTGTGGGTACACAGCTCACCACCATCGTGTCCCATGTGTAGATGTGTGTAACTGCCACCACAGCCAAGATACAGAACCATCTCCAGCACCTCCACCCTCCCCCTGGACCACCCCTAGAGCCACCCCAACCCTGTCCCCAGCCACCGTTCCCTTGGCAACCACTAGTCTGTTCTTCATCTCTACAGTTTTGTCATTTCAAGAATGTTGTATAAAAGGATTCATACAGTGTATAACCACTTGGGATTTTTTTTTTTAATTCAGCATAATTCTCTGGAGATTCCTCCCAGGTTGTTGGCGTGTTGGTGGTGGTCACTGACTCCTGGAAGGACATCTGGGTTGTGTCCAGGTTTTGGTTGCTCCGGATAAAGCTGAAGTGAACATCCCTGGACGGGCTTTTGGGTAAAGCTTACTTTCTTTCCCCGGGAGAAGTGCAGTTGTTTGGTTGTTGCGTGTTGAGTGTTTTGAAAGAAACAGCCAAATGTTTTCAGAATGGCTGCTTCCTGGTACCGTAGGAGTCTGCTGGTGTCGCTGATTTTTCCCATTTTGCCGTCCTGGTAGGCATGTGCCTCCTGGCGGCTTTCTTGTGCATTTCCCTAATGCTAGTTATGCGCATCTTTTCATGTCAGATGTCCATGTCTCCTGTCCATTTTCTAACTGGATTTTTTATTGTTTTAAGAGTTCTTTATATATTCTAAATGTTAGTCCTTTGTCAGACTTCTGGTTTGCAAATATTTTCTCCCAGTTTGTAGTTTCATCCTCTTAACAGGGTCCTATGTGGATCGAAAGTTTCTAATTTTGATGAATCCCGTATTACCAATTTTTCTTTTATAAATCATGTTGCTATTAGTGTTGTATCTAAGAACTCTACCTAGTCTTAGGTCCTGAAGATTGTATTTTTTTCCTAAAAGCTATTTTATGTCTTACAGTTAAATTTGCGATCCATTTTGAGTTAACTGTAGTATTTAGGTTTTTCTTTTTTTAAATATTTACTTATTTATTTGAAAGAGTTAGAGAGAGGCAGAGGGGCGGGGGAAGTTTTCAATACACTGATACACTCCCCAAATGGCTGCAACAGCTGGAGCTGGGCGGACCTGAACCCAGGAGCCTCTTCCGGGACTTCCACGTAGGTGCAGGGGCCCAAGCACTTGGGTCATCTTCCACTGCTTTCCCAGGCCATACCAGAAAGCCAGCCAGATCGGAAATGGAGCAGCCATACTTGAGCTGGCACCCATATGGGATGCTGGCGCTGTAGGTGATGGCTTTACCTGCTATGCCATAGTGCCTGCCCTAGGTTAAGTTTTTCTTACAGCCTGTAGCTGTCCAGTTGATCCAGTACCACTTGTTGAAGACAGTCCTCCCTCCATTGCTTTTGCACACTGGTCAAGGTCAGTGGGTGTGTCAGTGTGGCCTCTTCCTGTGTTGTCTCATGTTTCACTGATCCAGGTGTCCCTTTACCAGTACAGTGCTGATTGCTGTCACTCTGTAGTAAGTCCTGAAGTCAGGTACACTGACTCCTCTTCCCACGTTAGTCTTTTCCAGAATTGTTTTAATGTTTTTCATGAGTGTTAGAATAACCTCTTCTACCTTTACAAAACTCACTGGCATTTTGATAGGAAGCGTGTTCAAACCGTATTTATCAGTTTGGGGGAGAACTGATTACTGTGCTGTGTCTCCCCATTTCTTTATGTCCTTGATTTCATTGCAGTTTTTGCCACATAGATCCTTTTGCTAATTTTAAGCCTAGGTGTTTCCTTCTTGGAGTCACTGTAAATGGCGCACTCTGTTCTGTGTCCCCACGTTCATTGCTATTGGGTGGATAGATTTTTCTGTTTGTCTTGTGTCCAGAGATCTTGCTGGACTCCCTTATTCTAGATGGGTGTGTTGTCTCTAGATCCCTTAAGATTGCCTACACACAGACACATCTGTCTGCTAACGCCAGCACCTGGGTCTGGCCTCTAGGACTTTCTCAGCCCCTCCTGGGTCCCATGAGTCGCTGAGGCTGACCGTTTCTCTGAGTGTGTCCGTCAGGGAGCAAAGGTCCCTGAGCTGGGACCCACCGTGCCACCCCACACTTAGTGGCCTCTCGGCTGTGAGGCCGTGGTTGCTAGGCCTGAGCCTTGTTGCTGAGACCCGGCCTAGAGAAGACAGGTAGACTGTGCTGGGTGATCGACCGCTTTAATGAACAGAAGATACTGACTGGTATAAAAAGGTGCAAAGTGTCCTCATTTCCTGGATGAGGACTTGTCTTTTCCATGGTCGTGGATGTCTGTTTCGTTCGTGACCCCAGTGTGTGCACACTGGCTGTCACCACAGGGCATGAGCTGCCCATGGAAAGGTAGTGTTGCTTGTGCCATGGGGCACTGGTCAGCTTTTATGTAGTAACGTAGTAGCCTTGTTCTTGGCCTGAGAAGGGCACTGGTGGCAGGCCAAAATAACTGCCGCCAAAGGGGTGTCCACTCAGGTGCCGCGTGGAGCCCAGGACCACACGAGGGAGGCTGTGCCTCCACCGGCCAGCCCTTCCCTCAGCCTGGGGTCTCAGTTGAGGACAGCTGTTCAGGATTCACTCTCTGGCGCTTAAAGACCCAGCCCCACCAGCAGTAGGCGCCAGTGAGACTTGACATGCAGGACATTGGAATAGGACAGAGTGTGTGGGGTGAGGTCCTCCTTCTGCCCCGTCAGCAGACGGGACGGGGGAGGCGTGCGCCTCGCTGCCCCGCCTCGAAGGCAGGATGGGAGTGGCAGGCAACTGCAGGGTCCAGGCTGGAGCTCCAGTCCAGGGGTTGGGTGGGCAAAAAGCCTAGAGCAAACTAGGGTTACGGGCCACCGCCCCAAGAGTTGGGTGGGCCACAGGCAATCCCCAGCACCCAGGCCCTTTACACCTACACCCCTAAAAAAGAGCCACCAGCAACAGTGCAGGAGGCAGTGGACAGAGGCCTTCAGACAGTGGGCGAAAGCTTTCCCCAGCGCCTTATCTCTGGCTCCTCAGACTTGGGACTTCTGAGGCAGCCTGGTGGGTCTGGCCTGCTGTGGGCCCAAACCTGTTGGGCAGCGCTTTGAGAAGGCCAGAGCCCACCTCCAGAGGCCTGGAGACTGAGTGCCAGAGCCATTCCAGACCCTGTCAGGGCTGCTGCTGACGGGACTGGAGTTCTCTGGAGAAACCCTGCCCACGGGCATCGGGCAGCCACGCCGTGCCGTGCCTGGCACCTGTATGGCCTGCATCCATCGCCTCCCGTCCATCCTGGATAGCAGCTGCTGCCACAGGCGATTGAGCAAGGGCACAGCTCCCGGCCTGGGGGTTTGTGGACACCAAGGGCATCGAGCAGCCAGCCCAGGGCCGTTCCCTTCTGCTGCACCCCGCCGGCCCTCCTCTGGCCCCGCTTTGCGGTCCTGTGGTCCTCTCTCCAGCCCGGCCCAGCGCAGCCCGACACGGAGAGGCCTGCTTGCCACCTGCTGGGCTCGGGGCTGCTCCTGGGGCCTGACAGCTGCCTGAGGAAGTGAAGCCCTGGGGGGACTCGGGCCCAGGGCAGGAAAGAGTTTGGGGGTGGAGGGGGCAGAAACGCAGGAGGTGCAAGGGATGGAATGGTGGCTGAGTGACCCCACAGGTCTGTTGTCGTCAGCACCGGGTGCGGGGATGCCCGATGTGGGCCTGCAGTGCTTCCTGGATGCCCCGCTGCCAGTCTCGCGCCAGCTGCACCGGCGTCAGGGAGGCCTGGGGACGAGGACACAGGGTCACTGGGGTCTGCCCCTTGCTCTCAGGGGCTACACTGGCCATCGAGACCACAGCATGCTGCGGGCCTCGGCCCAGCTCCCACTCACCATGTTCTGCACGCCCAGCTTGGCTCCATAGAGCAGCAGCAGCTTCATGGCTTTGTAGCGGCCATGCCGCACAGCCTCGTGCAGGGCTGTGTCGCCTTCCTGCAGAGGGAGGGAGTCACGCTGCTGCCCCGCCTTTGCTGTCGGCCACTGCTCAGAGAACTCAGGTCTGTGGGGCAGGACTGCACCTCTGATCTGGCACAGGGTCAAGGTCCCTGAGTGGAGCTGCCCCGAGTACCTACCTTATCCTGCGCGTCGATGCGGGCTCCGCACTCGATGAGGTGCTCCAGGCAGTCAGAGTGCCCCGTGCGCACGGCCACGTGGAGGGGGGTGCTCCAGATCTGCAGTGGGGGGTCAGCGGTGGGTCTCGGTTGCCAGGGCCTCCTTCCCAAAGGGCTGTGCTTTCTCTTCACCAAGAGCATCTGCTCCCCTGCTCCTCCCAGCAGGCCACCGGAAGTTGGCACCCTGCCCCTCACCTTGTCCCGGGCGTTGATCTGGGCCCCCTGGTTAAGCAGCTGTTTGAGGATGTCCAGGTGTCCTCCACGGCAGGCCCAGAACACAGGGGTCCTGTCCAGCTGCACAACGAAAGCCACAAAGCACCGTGACCTGCAGGTAGGCGAGGCAGGGCGTCCGCCACGAGGAGGGGTCTTCCCCGTTCTCACCAAGTCCCGTGCGTCCACGGCGGCACCTGCCGCCAGCAGCTTGCTCACCAGCTGCCCGTGACCCTTCAGACAGGCCCAGTGCAAGGCAGTGCGGTGGAGCTGGGGGAGACGTGGGCGATTAGGCAGAGGGAGCGCAGCCCCGGGCCCCACCCTGGTCCCAGTGGATTCCTGCCAGTGACACAGGGCTGAGGACAGCTTGCCTGCTGCTGCGGGTCCTGCAAGCCCAGTGACCCCCACCACACTACCTTGTCATGGGCATTGGGGTCCCCGCCGTCGGCCAGGTACTTGTCAATCAGGGTCTCCTGGTTTTCAGCAGCTGCCTTCAGGAACGTCTCCAGGGCCACAGGCTCCAGCTGGGCCGGGGGCTGCTGCTGCACGAGTTCAAGGCCAAGGCCCAATCACTCCCAAGCCTGTGGGCACCCGTGGCCGCACAGCCCAGCCTGGTCCCCGAGCAGCTGACTGGACCCGCCCACAGTTGGCTGATAGAAACTCCAGTTTGTACAAATTCTCAGTCCTGCCCTCCCCGGAGACTGTGACAACAGGTGTCAAGAGAGTGCTGGGGATCGACACGAGCGTGGTGAAGTCCTCTCCCGCACTGTGTCAGAGGGTGACCTCGTTTGGCAACGGTCAAGGCGGGGCCACGTGGACTTGTTAAAGCAAGCCCCAGCCCGGCACGACACGCCCTCGGATGAAGGGCTCCTTTGGCACCGCAGGCCCAGGGACTTGAGAAGGGGGTGGAGCTGCAAGCACAGCGGAAGGGCAGGAGCAGGTTCTGAGCGCGTGCAGACGGGCGCCACCCTGTGAGGGGCTGCTCTGCGAGTCTGGCCTCGGAGGCCATCCCTCTGCACTGCCTGGGCTGCAGCCTTCCGCGAGGAAGCCCCCCCTGGCCACCCGCCACAGGAAACGCTTCCTCGGGCCTGCAGCCCCACGTTGTCACTCACCTTAACCACGGGCTCAGGTTCCCTGGGGGGGACTCTGCGTCTCAGTCGCTTCTCTCTCCGTCTTTGAACCAAGTGTTCCAGGTCAGCCAGCGTCTCCAGATGGACTCTGGAGCTGTTAAATCTTTCAAGCTGAGAAGGCGCAGCGAGTGGACGGAAGACAGGAGCAGGCCAGACGTCAGCCAGAGGTCGGAGCAGGGCGGGGCTCCTGGGGTGGCCGCCCCACTCCCACCCAGCGCTCACCTTCACCTTCTTCTCCTCTTCCACTCTCAGCTTCTCCCGGGCCATGGCCTCCTGGGGCCCCAGCCTCCAGTCACAGGGCCAGCCTCCGGGGTCGGGGACTCCATGTCCGATTCCCAACGCTTTCCTCCCAACTCCTCCTCCACTTACCTGCAGGAACAGGCAGAGGACAAGCAATCAGAAAACAGGGTTGTACAGTGCCAGGGAGACGGCTGGCGAGGGCTGTGGACGGGGTGAGTGTTGGGGACTGGAGAGGCTGCCTCCCATCCGCGGTGACGTCCTGGGGGATGAGTGACCTCTGCCTGCCCTGCTCTGTCAGCAGGACCCAGGGGTGAGGCGAGCCCGCATCCATCCATACCGCTGGCCAGGGCCCAGGCACCCTTGAGCCAGATGACCGCTTAGCTTCCCTCCTGGGCTGCTGCCTTAGATTCCTACCGGATCACGCCATGCTGCCTTGCGGTACAAGCTCAGAGGGACTGAGACACATGCCCTGGGGGAATTCAACTCCGCTTGCTGGGAAACTGTCTCCATAAAACGGGCTCCAACCTGCACTTAACCTAAAGGAGCTGGGGCGGTTATGGGAGTTACTGGTCTCGTGCTTGGGAGTGAGTCCTCCCCTCACAGCTGGGGAGCACTGAGGACCGAGCCTGTGGGGAGAACAGGCTGGAATGATAGGATGACGGGGCTGGGGCTCCCGGCCAGGCAGAACCAGATTCCCTTCTAAAGCAACGCTGCCCAGGCCCCACTGCTGGTGGGCAACGTGACATCCTCTAGGTCCCCAACACTGACAAAGCCCGAAGCACCCCTGGGGCAAGGATGCCCTTCTCCCTGCTACCACCCAGGCCCTCCAGAGCAGTGGCCACCCTCATGCTCCCTGGAGTCTGGCGTCTGCCACCTCCCTTCCCTGTCATGATCCAGGGCGGGGCTCGGTGCACACCAGGACTCTCACGGCCACCACACCCAGCTTCTTCCCTGCCTGCCAGCAGCTCATGCAGAACCCGGCACAGAGCAGACGGGAGCTGCCCACCTCCTGGTGCCTCCGCCCTGACCCTCAGACCCCAGTGAGCAGCTGCCTGCCCGCCACCCCGTCCTCACCAACTGCTGAATGCTGATGAAGTCCATGGTCCCCCCGCTCTCCGCACCCCCAGTGAGAGCCCGGGCGCTGCCCTCTTATAGCTCGGCCTCCTCCTGGGGGCGGGTGGGGGCAGGGAAGGACAGATGACTCTGGGGTTCTGTCACATCGACCAAAATACCAGCCTGGGAAAGCAGCCCGCGAGGCAGACAGGGAGCCGCCGCCTTCCACACGCCCTCGCCTGCACCTCTGCCATACCCCACTCTGCTCGGAGCCGCTGAGCCACCGAGCACGTGGCCCAGCCACGAGCCCGTGCTCAAGGGGACACCTTTCCCACCCTGCTGCGTTCGCACCCGCCAGGGAAGAGACCAGTTTGGGCTTCCATGTTGTTGGAAGTCTGGCTGCCTGGGAAACTTCCAAGACCTGGCCCAGTGACCTTGGCACAAGCTGGCCAGAATCCTGCAGGGAAGAGCTGGCCTCTACATGACAATGCACAAACAGCTCTGTGTGATCTCAAGGCTGCCCCCATCCCTCCTGCCTCCCATGCCGGCAGCCCGAGTTACGCTGTGCCAGCCACTGTGGGGGGGCTGGGCCTCGCAAATGTCTCCCATGCTCCCTGTGGGTCCCCACCAGACACCCCCAGCCATGAGTGCACCCTCCACAGGGAAGGGGGGCTGCGGTCGGCCCCGGGTCCCAGGATGTAGCAGGAACCATGAAACCAGCCCCAGAGCAGTCTGTCTCAGGCCACCGTAAGCAAAAGTCCTGGATCTCAGGCCCATCGCCCAGCGGTGACCTTTGCGAGGAAACCTGAGAGCCAGTAAATAAGATTCCAGAGCCCAGCGGCCGCCATCGCCAGACAGCGGGGAGCGCCGGGGTCAGCAAGGGCCAAAGGCCAGCAGCTCTGGCCGCGCGTCCAGGTGCTCACACAACAGAACCCGAGACAGTGAAGAAACTAAGCTCTGGGGTTTCAGGGGATTTTTTTTTCCGACAGAACTCTTTGGCTACAAGAGGAAAGACTCACCCAGACTAGAACGAGGACAAGTGGACAAGAAAAAGTCAGACTTCAGCCTGTGCGCCTCGGCCTCTGAGCACAGGGGCATTGCAATCAGCAGGCTCCACCCCAGACACTCAGCAAAAAAGCACTCGCCCTGCCAGGGCTAGCGCTGATTTTAAAAAGTCTTCCCAATTAAAAACCCAAAAGTAAACAGGAAGTCCAGGGCCTGCCGGCCCAGGGGAAAGCCCGCGTGGGTGCCGGGAGAAGGCACGCGCTCCCTGCTCTCCTGGCTCTCCTCCGCCCAGCTGCAGCTCCAGACGCACGCACCCTTTGCTGGAAGCGGCCTCGGGCCCCTAGCCCAGGCAGCACCGCCTCTGCAGGGGGCCCCCCAGGCTGAGTGCCTGCACGTGAACCTCCCTGCAGCCACGGGGGAGCAGTCCAGAAGCGCCAGATTCCTGGCTCTGCTCATTTAAATACATGTGGCCAGACTGCCACCTACCGTGACTGTACCGGTTTCCGTGGCCAGACACCAACAGAGTTAAGTGACAGCATGACAGAAGAAATTTGAAACGAATGGACATAAATGTACGTGTAAAACAGAGGATCGATATGCCGAATATAAACGGCTTTTCTGGGTCAAGAAAAGAAATCGACACGGGCGGGAAGCAGTATTCCCCTCACTGTAACTCGCCCGCAGACTAAAGCAGCAGCGCCCTCTGCCGGTCACAGGCCGGAAGGAGTGGGTTCCGACCCTGCCAGCACTGAGCACGTCTGGAGCAGGAACTAAGCAAAGCACTCGCCACGGAGCTCCCCTCCCCCAGTCCCCACGGTGGCCCTGGGGCGGGCCCCCTGTAACCACTCTCACCTCGGACCAGCCACCGGGGGACCGACGGAGCAGGGGCAGCTCTCGCCACGGGCGCCGCACTTGTCGTGTGCTCTGATTTTTGGTCGTTCATCTTGAGGTTTATCTTTGTGGGCGGAGGTAGGGATTTGACTTTATTGGTTTTTCCAAATGGATGGACGTTCCCACAGGACCTGATTCAGAACATGATCGCCTGTCCGGGCGCAGGCACGTCCCGCCCCACCAAACCTCCTCCCTCACATCCACGGAGGCCCGGCGGGGTTCTTCCGGGGTCTTCTGGCCTCAGTTTCCCTCCGCACAGCGTGCGGCAGGAGGGCGGCCTCTCTCTCAGGCGGCCAGCAGGTCCCGCAGGTCGCTGTGGCTGGGCAGCAGGTCGCAGGCCAGCCGCGCCTTCCGGTCGCGGACCGCCTTCAGGGCCGGGCTGTGCTGCAGCAGCAGGGAGCAGATGTCCACGTGGCCCTTCTCCGCAGCCTGGGGACAGACACACCCAGGTCAGGCTCACCCCTGCCAGACCCTGCCCCTTCTTGCTCCTCTGAGATCCTGAGGAAGCGGGCCAAGGCCGGCCTGAGGCGGTTTCCTCGAACTCCTTTAGAAACCCAGCGACTCTCCAGGAGGCGGTGGAGGGCCCAGGGCCCTCTGGCGGGAGCCCGTCTTTCTTTCTATGTCTCCACCCTGTGGCCACTGCTGGCTTGGGTCAGAGCCACACAAACAGCTCGGCCATTCAGCCGTCACCTGCAGGGTGCTGGGCGCCACGGGCAGCCGCCAGACGAGCTCGGGTTCCCAGCCTTCTCTTCTCCTTTGAGACACGGATCCTCATTTGGGCATCACTTTCTTTAAGATTTGTTTATTTATTTGAAAGGCAAAGCTAAGAGCGGGGGAAGGGAGAGGGACTGCTCTTCTATCTGTTGGTTCACTCCCCAAGATGGCCACAATGGCCAGCAATGGGCCAGGCTGAAGCCAGGAGCTTCTTCCAGGTCTTCCACACCGGTGCAGGGGCCCAAGCACTGGGGCCATCTTCCACTGCTTTCCCAGGCCATAGCAGAGAGCTGGATTGGAAGTGGAGCAGTCGGGACTAGAACTGGCGCCCACATGGTGCCACAGCACCGGCCCCTGGGCAGCAATTCCTAAATGTCGCTAAAGGTAACCGAGGTAAGCGACTGTGTAGCTTACCTTTCTCGATACCTCTCGGAGGTGGGAATCGCCACTACTGCCCCAGACAGACTGCAGCGCACAGAAGCGAAGCAACTTGCCCGAGGTCCCCGAGCTGCCGTGGCAGCGTGGGGATGCGAAGTCGGCCCTGCTGACGGCTGGGCTCTGTACCTTCCCCGCACCTCCCAGCAAACTGACGGACGCCAGGGGCCCGCACGGGGCGAGAAGCAGCCCCAGAATCCACCACGGGACCTCCGGAGCCCGAACCTTCACGCAGCAGGTCCTCCTGGTGAGCGCAGACCCGGCTGTGGCTTCTGTCTCGCTGCCTAGTTCAAGCAGCGGTCTGCTGTGAGCAGGGCGAGATGCGGCCCCAAGAATTCCTCACGGAAAGCAAAATACCAGGGGCCGCACTGTGGTGCAGCAGGCTAGGCTGCTGCCCGTGACGCCGGCACCCCACGTTGGAGTGCTGCTCCAAGTCCCAGCTGCTGCTCCTCCAATCCAGCTCCCTGCAATGTGCTTGGGAAGGCAGAGGAAGATGGCCTAAGTGCTAGGGCCCCTGCACCCATGTGGAGACTCAGATGGAGATCTTGGCTCCCGGCTTTGGCCTGGCCCAGCCCTGGCTGTTGCGGCCATTTGGGGAGTAAGCCACAGGGAGCTCTCTCTCTGTTTCTCCCTCTCTGTCACTCTGCCTTTTAAATAAACAGAATAAATCATTAAAAAAAAGTTTGCAAATAGCTTATTTTAAAACCTAGCAAAGAAGAATAACTTCCAGCCCTCACACATTTTCCCTGTCCACATGAGAGAACAGGGGATGCGATGCATCTAAAGTGCTGCGCCCCCGTGGGTGACGCCAGCCAGGTGAACATGGAGCACCCTGCCTGTAAACACCCACCACGTGAACTGTGGTGATGAAACGTCGGAGCGACACCACTTCACACCATTAAGACCTAGGCAGTCTGCCCAGCCAACTGGCAAGGATTAAGAAAAACCCGACACCCAGCTGTCTGTTCAGCACATACTTGTGGAGCACCTGTGCCAGGGCTGCCACAGGGGTGAGATAAAGGCCCAGCTGTCTCCAGGGAGAGACAGGCGGCCAGTGGGGAAGCTCAGGGTCACAGCAGTCAGGCAACCTCGCGTCCAGGGAGCACATGGCTGGGCAGGTCTGGGGGTCAAGGGCGGGTAGGGTTGGGAGGGAGGAAGGGAGGGTGTGCATGTGTTACAGTCCAGAAGGAAGCGTAAAAGGGGCCCACGTAAAAAGGGATGGGACAGGCATCTAGAAAGGAGGAATAGCGTCTGACGTGTGGCCCTGGGGAGACAGAGTAGTAAATTAAGGAAGATCAGCAGGTCCTTGGGGTAAGGGACACATGGATAAGAACTCGGAATAAAACGGAGAGGGTGGTGGGAGCTGTCCCTAGAAGGGAACAGAAAGCCTCTGGAGGATTCCAAATGCGCATGATCAGAACCACTTTTTTTTTTAAGATTTTATTTATTTTTATTTGAGAGTTAGAGTTACAGACAGTGAGAGGGAAGGACAGAGAGAAAGGTCTTCCCTCTGTTAGTTCACTCCCCAAATGGCCACAGTTGAGCCGATCCAAAGCCAGGAGTCAGGAGCTTCTTCCAGGTCTCCCACGTGGGTGCAGGGCCCAAGGACTTGGGCCATCCTCCACTGCTTTCCCAGGCCACAGGAGAGAGCAGGATTGAAAGAGGAGCAGCTGGGACTTGAACCTGCACCCATATGGGATGCCAGTGCCACAGGCAGAGGATTAACCTACTGCGCCATGGCACCAGCCCCCAGCACCACTTTTTAAAATTTATTTTCTGGGGCCGGCTCTGTGGTGTAGTGGGCTAGGCCTCGACCTGCAGTGCTGGCATCCCATACAGGTGCTGGTTTGTGTCCCGGCTGCTCCTCTTTTGATCCAGCTCTCTGCTATCGCCTGGGAAAGCAGCAGAAGATGGCCCAAGTCCTTGGGCCCCTGCACCCACGTGGGAGACCCAGAAGAAGCTCCTGGCTCCTGGCTGTGGATTGGCCCAGCTCCAGCTGTTGCAGTCATTTGGGGAGTGAACCGGTGGGTGGAAGCTCCCTCTCTCTCTCTCTCCCTCTAAGTCTGTAACTCTGCCTCTCACATAAATAAATCTTAAAAAAAAAAAAAAAAAAAGTATTTCCACTGTGGATGCCCTGGGAGGGCGCTCTCCCTGGCTCTGTCCAGGGGCTTTGTCCTGTGCTGTACAGCCCCTCCCCACAACGCTGGAGATGACGCGGGCCTGGCGTCTGCGCCTGCAATTCCTGCAGCTTCCCCGAGTCCTGCGGGCGATGGCTGCGGAGATGAGCCGTGCAGGAAACACGTCTAAGCAGGCTGGAGTCTCACGGTAGAGTGAGAGGCTTCGGAATGTCATCTCAGATTCACTGTCTCTCAGGGGAGCAGAGGAGCCACTCTGGGGCCCGGGCTCCCTTGTCTAGCAGGGAGAGCTGGTAAAGGATTCAAAAAATAAATAAAACAACTTGGGAATGCAGCAGGTTTGAAAAATCTTGGGCACATTTGTAGATTTTGGGGATTCAAGAGTTTCCAAATAATTGAATGGTACAAATGTGAAAGCATTAGAAGCTAGATTATTTAAAAAGACCAATGTATTTTATTTCTGATATAAATGTTTGCAGTTCACCTAAGGAAACTAAAAATATTGATGTATTGTGAACTGATATAAAGATGACTGTTCATTAAAAATATAGATTTTTATTCACTTGAAAGGCAGAGCAACCGAGACACGTGGCCCCAGTACCTGAGCCGTGACCTGCACCCAGGATGTATTTCAGCGGGAAGCCTGACTGGACACAGGTGAGACTCCAACCCAGGCACCCCAATACAGGATGCAGATATCCCAGGCAGCAGCTTAACCCCCTGGGCCACAACACCCTGCCAGAGCCACTTGTTAAAATCCTCGCCCTCTGGAGCTAGTGCTGGGGTGCAGTGCAGCGCCGGCATCCCATACAGGTGCTGGATTGCATCCTGCTGCCCCACTTCCAATCCAGCTCCCTGCTAATGTGCAGCAGATACACCCGTGTGGGGGACCTGGATGAAGCTCCTGGCTTCTGGCTTCAGCCTGGCCCAGCCCTGGCCACTGTGTCCACTTATGGAGTGACCCAGTAGATGGAGATCTCTCTCTTTCTACCTCTCCCTCTCTGTAACTCTGTTTCCTATAAATAAATAAATCTTTTCAAACAGTCATTCCTCTGGAAGAAATTCAAGGTGGCAGCAAGGGAGGAATGTATTGACATACGTATGTCATAAATGCGCATAAACTGCCTCTCAGAGGGTGAGGGGGCCTACCTTATGCAGACTGGTCATGCCGTCATCGTCCACCAGCCTCGGGTTGCAGCCGTGTGACAGCAGCAGCCGAGCGATCTCTGTGTGCCCGCAGTAGCTGGCCCGGTGCAGCGCGGTGGCGCCCCCGTGGGTCTGGGCATCGCACTTAGCTCCGCTCTCCAGCAGGAACTGGCACACGGCGTAGTGTCCGTTGCGACTGGCGTAGTGCTGCGGGGAGCGAGGTCAGACAGCGGACTCTGGGCGGGCTCGGGGCCTGCACACGCGCAGGGGCCAGCCCCAGCGGCTCTGTGACCTGGGTGAGCTTCTTGACATCTAGATTCATCCTCCTCAACAGGGAAGACGGGGACACGAGCACTCCTCTCTCCTGGGACTGTCACGAGACAGAACTGAGCAGCTGACAGAAAGCTGGGATGCTCATTTGAAAACCCGGTTCACAGGACAGTTAAGAGAGCACTTTGTGGCCGGCGCAGCAGCTCACTAGGCTAATCCTCCGCCTGCGGCGCCGCCACACCGGGTTCTAGTCCCGGTCAGGGTGCCGGATTCTGTCCCTGTTGCTCCTCTTCCAGGCCAGCTCTCTGCTGTGGCCCAGGAGTGCAGTGGAGGATGTCCCAAGTGCTTGGGCCCTGCACCCCATGGGAGACCAGGAGAAGCACCTGGCTCCTGGCTCCTGCCATCGGATCAGCGCGGTGCGCCGGCCGCAGCGCACCAGCCGTGGCAGCCATTGGAGGGTGAACCAACGGCAAAAGGAAGACCTTTCTCTCTGTCTCTCTCTCACTGTCCACTCAAAGAGAGCACTTTGCCAGAAGAAGGGAAGGCAGAGGCAGCTTCCCACCCCAAGCTAAAGCTCCCCACCCCCACTCCCGTGCTCCTCCCAGCTCACCAGAGCAGTGTAGCCGGCAGAGTCAGGCTGACTGGGGTCCGTGGCCTTCTGGATGAAATACTTCACTCGGCCCAGGTCCCCGTGCAGAGCCGCCGCCCAGATCCCTGCAGAGTGAAGCACGGGCCTGTGTTACGGTGCCTGGCTGCCGATGCTCGGCACCTCCGTTACCCCTTGACTGCACTGTTCGCCCCTGTGAAATGGACAATATTTGTTCACTCAACAAATATTCACTGTGCCAAGGATTGCTCCAGGCGCTGGTGACACAGCTGGGAACAAGACACAGGGTTTGTCCAATCAGGCAGTCACAAAAATCCCCTCCTCCCTCTTCCAGCATGTAATGGTAGATAAAGTAGTATCTGCAATGTCTGAATATAGAGTCAAGGTCAAAAGCAAGAAAAGGAAGCTACCAGGTGCCAGGAACAAAGTGAAAACCCCTGCCAAAGTAGTGAGCAGGCATTGAAGCTCAAGAGCCCAGAGCACAGGGCCACCACCCGCAGTGCCCGCATCCCATGTGGGTGCCGGTTTGAGTTCCGACTGCTCCACTTCCGATCCAGCTCTCTGCTATGGCCTGGGAAAGCAGTAGAAGATGGCCCACGTGCTTGGGCCCCTGCACCCACGTGGGAGACCTGGAAGCAGGTCCTGGTTTCAGCATCTGTGGCCATTTGGGGAGTGAACCAACAGATAGAAGATCTCTATCTCTGCCTTTCAAATAAATAAATATTTTTTAAAATTTGGCTGTTTGCAGCTCATTTTCTAATTACAGGAAACAGATGAGAAACCAACGTATATTTACTTGTATATCGTGTACATATCCTTGCTATGTTTGGCACATAAATGTTGTTTCATGGTGTAATTTTACCCAGGTATTCTCTGGATTCTATAAAGGAAGACAGGTGGTGCCAAGGGCTCCGAAGAAAAAGCAGGGAAGGGGAACAGGCAGTGGTCAGGGATGGCTTCTCCGAGAGGGAGCAGCTGAACGGCAACCCGAAGGGAGCAGGTGTGCGGGGACAGCAGAGGAGGAGCCCACACCAGTCCCACGCCCCGGCTCAGGTGCCTCGGAGGGCAGAATCACCAGGAGAGGATGCTGCTATAATCCAGACTTGCCCAAGGTGACCCAGAGAAGTGAATTCTGTAGGGGCCAGGCAGAGGCAACTTAAAAAAAAAAAAAAGATTTATTATTTATTTGAAAGGTGGAGTTAAACACACACACACACACACACACACACAAACACACGTCCTCCATCCATTGGTTCACTCCCCAAATAACCACAATGACTGGGGCTGGGCCAGGCCAAAGCCAGGGGCAAGGAGCCTCCTCCTGGACTCCCAAGTCGGTGCAGGGACTCAAACACTAGGGCCATCTTCCACTGCTTTCCCCAGGCCATCAGCAGGGAGCTGGATTGTAAGTTGAGCAGCCAGAACCAGTGCCCATATGCCACAGCGCTGGCCCCAGAGGCAACTCCTTAAAAATACCCTGTAAGATTACCTCCAGGAGTTGGTACTGTGGCACAGCAGGGTTAAGCCGTCGCCTGTGACACAAGCATCCTGTATGAGCACTGGTTTGAGGCCCAGATGCCCCACTTCCAATCCAGCTCCCTGCTGATGTGCCTGGGAAAGCAGTGGAAGATGGCCCAAGTGACTGGGTTCCTGCATTCACATGGGAGACTCAGATGAAGCTCCTGGTGCCTGGCCCAGCCCTGGCCATTGAGGCCATCTGGGGAGTAAACCAGTGGATGAAAGACCTCTCTCTGTAACTCTGCCCGAAGGGAGGGAGACCTCTAGGGGTGGGTGTTGTGGTGCAGCAGGTTAAGCCTCTGCACGGCTTACCCTCATCCCTTTATCTGAGCATTGGTTTAAGTCCTGGCTATTCTGTTTCCCATCAGCTCCTTGCTAATGCACCTGGGAAAGCAGCAGAGGACGCCCCAAGTACTTGGGTCCCTGCCACCTACATGGGAGACCTGGATGGAGTTCCTGGTCCTTGGCCTCAGCCTGGTCCAGCCCTGGTTGTTGCAGGCATCTGGGGGAGTGAACCAGTTGAAGGAAGAGGTCTCTTTCTCTCTTTTTTTTTTTTTTTTTGACAGGCAGAGTGGATAGTGAGAGAGAGAGAGACAGAGAGAGAAAGGTCTTCCTTTTGCCGTTGGTTCACCCTCCAATGGCCGCCGCAGCCGGTGACCCACGCTCATCCGAAGGCAGGAGCCAGGTACTTCTCCTGGTCTCCCATGGGGTGCAGGGCCCAAGCACTTGGGCCATCCTCCACTGCACTCCCGGGCCACAGCAGAGAGCTGGCCTGGAAGAGGGGCTCCAGCATTGTGGCCATCTGGAGAGTGAACCAGTGGATGGAAAGCTTCTCTGTCTCCACCTCTCTCTGTAGCTCTGTATTTCAAATAAATAAAATAAATCTTTTAAAAAAAAAAAAGATTTATTTGAAACTCAGAGTTACAGAGAGGAGAGGCAGAGAGAGAGAGACAGAGAGAGAGGTCTTCCATCCAATGGTTCACTCCCCAAACTCTGCCTGTCCCCAACGGCTGGAGCTGCGCCAATCCGCAGCCAGGAGCCAGGAGCCTCCTCCGGGTCCCACAGGCAGGTGCAGAGGCCCAAGGACCTAGGCCATCCTCCACTGCTTTCCCAGGCCACAGCAGAGAGCTGGATCAGAAGTGGAGCAGCCAGGTCTCGAACCGGCGCCCATGTGGGATGCCAGTGCCCCAGGCCAGGGCATCAACCTGCTGCACCACAGCGCCGGTTTGAGTCTCAGCTACTTCACTTTTTTTTTTTTTTTTTTTTGACAGGCAGAGTTAGACAGAGAGAAAGGTCTTGCTTCCGTTGGTTCACTCCCCAAATGGCCGCTACGGCCGGCGCTGCACCAATATGAAACCAGGCGCCAGGTGCTTCCTCCTGGTCTCCCATGCAGGTGCAAGGCCCAAGCACTTGGGCCATCCTCCACTGCACTCCCGGGCCACAGCAGAGAACTGGACTGGAAGAGGAGCAACCAGGACAGAACCGGCGCCCCGACCAGGACTAGAACCTGGGGTGCCAGCGCCGCAGGTGGAGGATTAGCCTAGTGAGCCACGGCGCCGGCCTTTTTTTTTTTTTTTTAAAGATTATTTATTTATTTATTTGAGAGGTAGAGCTACGGACAGTGAGAGGGAGAGACAGAAAGAAAGGTCTTCCTTCTGTTGATTCACCCCCCAAATGGCTGCAACGGCAGGAGCTGCACCGATCTGAATCCAGGAGCCAGGTGTTTCTTCCTAGTCTCCCATGCGGGTGCAGAGGCCCAAACACTAGGGCCATCTTCTACTGCTTTCCCAGGCCACAGCAGAGAGCTGGATTGGAAGAGGAGCAGCTGGGACTAGAACCAGTGCCCATATGGGATGCCAGTGCCGCAGGTGGAAGATTAACCAAGTGAGACATGGCGCCAGCCCCACTACTTCACTTCTGATCCAGCTCTCTGCTATGGCCTGGGATAGCAGTAGTAGGCAGCCCGAATACTTGGGCCCCTGCACCCATGTGGGAGACCTGGAAGACGCTCCTGGCTCCTGGCTTTGGATTGGCCCAGCTCCAGCTATTGCAGCCATTTGGGGAGTAGACCAGCAGATGGAAGACCTTCCTCTCTCTACCTCTGCCTTGCCTCTCTGGAGCTCTGCCTTTCGAATAAATAAATCAATCTTTAAAAAAAACAAAAACAAAAACAAAAACTGTGAGATGAAAAATTGCAAAGCATGAAATAAATGATCCACTGCCATGAGAGGCAGTCAGCAAAGACAAAGGAGAAATGCAGGCCGCAGACACCAGCTGTCACAGCACAATCTAAAAATGCGTTTAAAACAGCAATGTTTAATATATTCACAGACACAAAGAGAGAATCCACAAACTGACATGTTGGGCAAAAACAGCCGCCAACGATAGGCAGATATGAAACAGAAGGCAGTAAATTAACCAAGGCAGCGCTTTGGCCTAACAGGTTTGTTGTGTGTGTGTGTGTGTGTGTTTTGACAGGCAGAGTGGACAGTGAGAGAGACAGAGAGAAAGGTCTTCCTTTACCGATGGTGCACCCTCCAATGGCCGCTGCGGCCGGCACACCGCGCTGATCCGAAACCAGGAGCCAGGTGCTTCTCCTGGTCTCCCATGCGGGTGCAGGGCCCAAGCACTTGGGCCATCCTCCACTGCACTCCCGGGCCACAGCAGAGAGCTGGACTGGAAGAGGAGCAACCAGGACAGAATCGGCACCCTGACCAGGACTAGAACCTGGTGTGCCGGTGCCACAGGCGGAGGATTAGCCTAGTGAGCCAAGGCGCCGGCTGCCTAACAGTTCTGACACCTGTAAGACGCCCACCTCCCACCTCCCAGTACCTGGGTTGCGTCCTGGCTCCAGCTCCCCATTCCAGCTTCCGGCTGATATAGACCCTGGGAGGAAGCGGTGATGGCTTCAGTAGCAGAATCCCTGCCACCTGCATGGGAGACCCGGATTGAGTTCCCACCCCTGGACTTTGGCCCGGCCAGGTCCCAGCCACCGTGGGCATCTGGGGACTGAACCAGCAGATTCACTCTCTCCAATAACAAATTCTAAAATTAAAAAGCCAAGCCAGGGGCAGGCATTTGGGAGCGCGGTTAAGATGCCACCCTCCTATATGGAAACGCCTGGGGTCAGCTCCTGTCTCCGCCTCTGATCCCAGCTTCCTGTTTAAGTCAGAGGGTCACTGTAACTTCCTATTGGGTTGCCAGCTCCTGGCTTTGGTTTGCCCCCACCCTGGGTGTTGTGGATATTTAGAAAGTGAACTAGTGGATGGGACATCTGTCTGACTCTCTTTCTCTCTGCCTTTCAAATAAATGAAATGAATCCATTTTTTAAAACTAAAAATAATTTGAAATAAAACAACTGATAGATTGAACAGTATGACAGACCCAGTTGAAGAGAGACTTAGTGATCTGGAATTCACCTGGAATACAGCACAAAAGGATAAAGAGAAAAATACTACAGAGAGGTAGAGAAATATGGAAGACCCAATGTACCAACACAGGTCTAATAAAAGTTCCAGAGGATGAGAGAGAGGGAGGGAGTGGGAGAGAAACAGGGAGGGAAAGAAAACTGGATACAATGGGAGACAAAAATCACATGAACTCCCCAGGAGGGTTAACAAAAACAGGCCTCGCATGATGGACTGACTGACTGACCATCAGCAATAAAGAGAACACTTAAAAGTCACCAAAAAGTAAGCAAGCTCATGACCCATGAAAGGCCATCCGTCCGACTGCCTGCAGCAGCAGGTGCGGGGAGACCCAGGAGTGACGCTTCCTTCCCGAGGACTGAGGGGGAACAACTGTCAGCCAGGGCTTCTACACTTAGCTGAACTCTCACACAAAGAAAACAAGCGTCCCCACTGAAAAAACCATTCCGCAAGAAAGAAAATGAACTCGGAGATATGACATGAAGAAAAAAATCCACACTACAAAATACATAAGGAAATTTTAAATGATTTTTTAAGGGGCCGCTGCCTGCAGTGCCGGCATCCCATATGAGCGCCGGTTCAAGTCCCGGCTGCTCCACTTCTGATCCAGCTCTCTGCTATGGCCTGGGAAAGCAGCAGCAGATGACCCAAGTCCTTGGGCCCCTGCACCCACATGGGAAACCCGGAGGAAGCTCCTGGCTCCTGGCTTTAGATTGGCTCAGCTCTGTCTGTTGTGGCCCTTTGGGGAGTGAACCATCAGATGGAAGACCTCCCTGTCTCTCTCTGCCTCTCTGTAACTCTTTCAAATAATTAAATAAAATATTTTAAAAAATTTAAATAAAATAATATCAAGTTATGAAAACTGCTTTGATGAAAGCAATGAAAGATGACAGATTTATCAGGGTGACCTGGAGAAGAAGGCCCTAGCATGGATGGGGATAGGTTCTTTTCTTTCTTTCTTATTTATTTTATTTTATTATTTTTTTTTTGACAGGCAGAGTGGACAGTGAGAGAGAGAGACAGAGAGAAAGGTCTTCCTTTGCCGTTGGTTCACCCTCCAATGGCCGCCGTGGCCGGCGCACCGCACTGATCCGAAACCAGGAGCCAGGTGCTTTTCCTGGTCTCCCATGGGGTGCAGGGCCCAAGCACTTGGGCCATCCTCCACTGCACTCCTGGGCCACAGCAGAGAGCTGGCCTGGAAGAGGGGCAACCGGGACAGAATCCGGCACCCCGACCGGGACTAGAACCCGGTGTGCCGGCGCCGCAAGGCGGAGGATTAGCCTAGTGAGCTGCGGCACCGGCCCAAGGTTCTTTTCTTTAAGATTTTATTTATTTATTTGAAAGGCGGAATTACAGAGGCGGGGTTGGGGGGGGTCTTCCATCCACTGGTTCACTCCCCAGATGGCCGCAATGGCCAGACCCCGGCCAATCCAAAGCCAGGAGCCAGGAGCTTCTTCTGGGTCTCCCACATGGGTGCAGGGGCCCAAGCACTTGGGCCATCTTCTACTGCTTTCCTAGGACACAGCAGAGAGTTGGATCAGAAGTGGAGGAGCCGGGACTCGAACCTACACCCATATGGGATGCTGGCGCTCTACCCTCTATGCCACAGCACCAGCCCCAGGGCTAATTTTTCTCAACAGCAGCACAATCCACATTTTGGGGCAGATAACTCTTGCTTGTGGGGTTGCCGTCCTAGGCATTGCAGTGTGTATGCAGCACCTCCTGGTTTTGACAACCAAAAACAAATTTTTAAAGTGTTCATATAGCTTTTTTTTTTTTTTTTTAAGATTTATTTATTTATTTGAAAGGCAGGGTTACAGAGAGGCAGAGGCATAGAGAAAGAGAGAGAGGTCTTCCAACCACTGGTTCACTCCCCAGGTGGCCGCAACAGCCGGAGCTGCGCCAATCCAAAGACAGAAGCCAGGAGTTTCTTCTGGGTCTCCCACGCGGGTGCAGGGGCCCAAGGACTTGGACCATCTTCCACTGCTTTCCCAGGTGCATTAGCAGGGAGCTGGATTGGAAGTGGAGCAGCTGGGACTTGAACTTGTGCCCACATGGAATGCTGGCACTGCAGGCGGTGGCTTTATCTACGTCCACAGCTCTGAGCCCCCAAAATGTCTTTAGACAGTCAAAGTTTCTTACAGGGCAGGACCATCCCAGCTGAGGATCTGAAGGCAAAGCATCAGGCAGATACCAGCCTAATGGTTGTGGAAGTTCATTTTTTTTCTATTTTATTTGAAAAGCAGAGAGACAGAGATCTTCCATCTTCCAGGGCTGGAGCAAGCTGGAGCCAGGAGACCAGAACTCGATCTGAGTCTCCCACTTGGGTGGCAGGGACCCAGGTTCCTCTGCCATCACCTGCTGCCTCCCAGGGTGTGCGTTAGCAGGAACCTGGATCAGAACCCGAGCTGGGACTCAAAGCTGGCACTCCAAAGCGGGCGGTGGGGCACCCCAACCAATGCACCCACGCCGGCCCCTGCAGGAAGTGCGCTCCTTGGGGGACAGGACAGCAAGAAGGAGGGCGTAACTCAAGAAGTCTCGTTTAACTGAGACACCAAAGCAAGTGTGGCCGATGCCCGGTGACTGAGAAGGGAAAGGTTGGGAAATAAAAGGAGGGTAGAGAAGCACAGTGGGCAGCGCTTAGGACCACAGAGCTCTGGCAGGCGGGGCTGAGGCTTTTGGGTTTATTCTAAAAGCAACGGGAACTGGTCTGGTCTGGTATTTTGCAAGGGTCTCTCTGGCTGCTGTGTGGGAGATGGAAGAGGGGAAGCAGGGGGACTACTGCAGTCGGCCAGGAGGTGGCAGTAGGACACACGCAGGGAAGCGGGCAGGTGCCAGCGACGGTGGAATGCGGCTGTCTATAAAGCAGGAGCGCTCTTACTACGGAAGCTGCCTCTGCAAGGCGTCATGACACAGCACGGTAAAAAGGCACAGCGGCTCCAACTCGCAGAAGGGGGGCTCGGGCGGCCAGCCCTCCCCCCGTTCCTCCCCGGCAGCCCCACAGGCCCAGGGGTACCGCCTAGCTGGCACGAAGGCTGCCGGCGGGCAGCTCTGTGCCTTCCCTAAAGCATGCACAGGGCCCACCCCAGCAGGCGCCCCCGGGCCGCAGCGCCGCGGCAGCCCCCAGGCCCGAAGCTCCCTGCCTCCAGGTGCAGATTCTGCTCCCGCGCCCCCCTCTCTGACGCCCGAGCAATTTCGGGTCTCCAGGCCCAGCCTCCCCACTCGGAAAAACTACAGAAACCAATGGCTGTCTGCCCGCCTGCTCGCCAAGACGAGTGTTCCATGGCCGAGCTCATACCGGGCTCGTGAGACCCCTCCTCGCCCTCCCCGCACACGGCCCGCAGCCCTCGGGGTGCCGTTCGCAGCCTCCCCCTTCAGCTCGCAACCCTGAGGGTCCCAAAGGGCCGGGCTCCGGGCCTGCGGGGCCACGCGACCGCCCGCCTCACCCCTCTCGAAGTCCATCTCCTCCAGCGTCTGCTGCACGCCGGGCACCGCGCTGGGGCGAGAGCAGCAGGGCCCGTCCACGCACGGCCGTGGAGCCGCCATTGCAGCTTCTGCGCCTGCAACCCAGGGGCCGGACACCCGCTCGGCCCCCGCTGGCCAGAGTGACGGACGCAGTGCCCCTCCCGCCATCCCCGTATCTGGCCACTCACCGTGCGTCGTTGGCCTTAGAGTCCCGCCCCCTCCCCGGAGCCGGCCAATCCAGGGTCTTAGGCCTTAGCTCGAGAACGAATCGTGGTGGCGGGGCGGGACTTTGCTGCGCCCCGGCGTCACCCGACAGCGCCACGCGAGGGCGTCCGAGACTAAGCGGAGGGCTGAGGGCGGCGGCGTGGTGGTTCTGGGCCCTGGGAGTGGGGTCCCGCGGGGCGGACTGGCTGGGCTTTGCCAGGATGCGGAGGCGAGGCGGCTAGGCCCGGCCAGAGTTTTTATGTAACCTTCAGAGGCCTAGCAGGTTTTTTCCCTCACCGCCCTTGTCCACCTGGGCTCCCCGATCCTTCACCCCCTCTTCCCACACCATCGTGGCCGCGCAGTGACCTTTGAAAAAGCACTTTATTTTAAAGGCAGGGAGCTAGGCAAAGGCAGATCTTCCATTGTCTGGTTCGCTCCCCAAACGTCCCCAACGGCCAGGGGTCCGGAAGTCAAGTCTGGGTCTCTCCCGTGGGCAGCAGGGCTCCAGTTATTTGAACCGTCAAGTAATTACTCGCCTCTCAGGGTGCAGATTAGCAGGAAGCTAGAAGCGAAGCGAAGGAGCTCTTCAAACTCAGCCACACCTATGGGATGCCGGCGTCCCAAGTGGCGTCTTAACCCCTGTGCCAAATGCCTAGTCCCCGTGACCTCTTCAAAGGCTCCCTGCAGATGCACCGTGTTACTCCAGCAAGGGGCAGCTGGCCACAACTTGGCCTGCTAGTAGGAGTAGCCCCACAGAAGCCCCAGAGGCAAGGCCAGGACCTAGGTTTGTGCCCCACCCCTCTCCCCATCACCTCTCCCACCACAGGCACCTGGTTTACCAGATCAGTCTTCATGTATCAACCTCACAGACTGACACCTGCGGACCCGGCACTGGCACTGAGTGTACACGCTCAAGTCGCCAGATGAGCACACACAGGGCAGCCCGTGCCAGCAAGCCTGGGTCAGAGGCTGTGACAGCCACGGGGGACCTCGTTTCCATGTCCTGGACATGGGCTGGACTCTGGCGTGTCTAAAGCCATCGGGAAGGAGTCCAGGCTGGGTCCTGTTGTTTCTCACATCTTGGCCCCAGGCCTCTCCCTCGCTAGGACACCCTGGGTGGCAGCAGCAGCTCCTTCCCGGAGGACCAAAGGCCGGACGGGATCTCTCTTCCCCTAAACTGCTCGGGCGCCCAATCCCTCACGCCAGTGAGCATAACCATGTTCACCGCCTACCCGAGCTTAAAACTGCTTCTAGGAAGTCCCCTCCTTCGGCCCCCTCACTGCCCGGGGTTCTGGGAAGGCAGGCCCCTCCTCCTCCTCCTCCTCTCCCAGTGCCTGGACTTCTCCCTTTGGCCCGAAGCCAAGGCTGGCTCCCAAGGGGCTGCAGCCGTGGTCTGGTTCCCAGCCCTGCTGCCACCACTGTGGGAAAACCCTGGAGGAGTCTGGGCCATGCTCCCTGCAGAGAGGGGCACAGGCTGGCTGGAACCGCAGAAGGGGCACCGCCCAGGGAGCGTGCGGGGGCCCAGGGCAGCCTGGCTCAACCCACACGGAGCCTTGCCTCTTGGTACCTGCAAGACTTTGAGCTCACATGCCTTAGCCCCCATTACCGTGAGAGCTTTATTTTCTCCATTTTATTCGTCAATATAAAAATACTCAAATATTTACAACAAATAAATACGTGGGACACAATAAGTTACAGTTAGGGGCCCTCCCCCTAGGGCTGAGAGGATATGCCCACCTCGCCCCTGCACAACCTTCCCCAGCCCTGGATGGGGGGAGGATGAATATAAAATACCACTGAACCCAGGCCAAGAGGGAGGCCCCGCCCACCCCTGCCCCCAAACACACAGGAGGCTCCATCTCCCTCCCCCCACCCTGAAAACATTCACAGCCCTGGGGGCGGGACCAGGCCCACCCCTCTCCCCCCAACGGAGCCCTGCACTCCCCCAAAGGGGTACCGCACCCTGCCCACCCCACCCCCATATGTACAGCACTGCCCCACGCTTGGGACAGGTGGGGGTAAGAGAGGCAACGCGATACGACCCCTTCCCCTTCATAGCTCCAGTGACTCACCAGGGAGACCCCAGGCCAAGGGAAGACTGAACAGAAAGGCTACGCCACATGTGCACGCGTGCACACACACACACATACACACGCACAAACACAAATACGCGCACACACACACACACAACTTGAAACTTCTGCCTTGGAAGGTTTTGGCGGCTGGGGTCCCACATGTCCGTGATCCACAGAGAGGAGGAAGACGCCTCCCGTGAGGCCGGTGTCCTGGTGAGCCACACCAAGTGGCAGTGCCCATGCTGAGCGGGTGCCCGTGCCATGTCCCTGAGGTAGCTGGTGCCTGTGCAAAGTAGGAGCTGCGCCTCCCACGTGCCCCCCGCCACTGCGGTGGCGGGGCTGCCCTCATACTGATGACTCCTCGGGGTTGGAGTCGGGCAGGGGCTGGCGCTGCTGCAGTTTGCGTCTCAGTTCGTCGGCGAGTTCAGGCAGGGGGTGCCCAAGGCCTCCCCGGTCCTCCCCTCCCAGTTGTAAGCGCACGTAGCCGTTGGCGTTTGAGTTCCGCCCACCCCCCAGGTGAAGTCGCGTCGGAGAAGGCAGGGGCTGGCCGGGCATGCCAGGAGGAGGAGAGGGGGGCCCACCTCCAGGCTGGCACCGGGCGTGTCCAGGCACTATCTTGAGGGAGCCATCGGAGTAGTAATAGCCAACCGGATCCCAAAGTTTCTCGTCGGTTTCAGGGCCAGGCCGGAAGGGGGCGCCAGTGGGCTCCTTGGGCAGCTCCAGAGGGTACACCAGGGTCCTCTCGGCGGCCTTGGCACCTTTCTCCAGCTCTTCCCGCAGCCGCCGGCGCAGTGACAAAACGAGGAGCAGGAGCACCAGACACACAGCTCCCAGGGCCACCACGGCCAGCCACACCAGCCCCAGGTTCTCCAAGGGGGCCCGGGCCTCCATGGTCACTGAGGGTCCCGCCATGACATCCACAAGGTAGCTTTCAGCAGCCAGCCGCGCCCCCTGCTCCTCTGAAAAGCAGCGGTAGGTGCCGGAGTGGTGGGGCTGGGCAGCCATCACCACCAGGGCCTGGAGTCGGGCATCCGAGAGGAAGAAGCCGGGCTGTTCGGCGGGCAGGTCCCGGCCCCTGAAGGTCCAGTGGGCGTGAGCCAGGTTGGAGGAGAGGCGGCAGGGCAGCACCAGGTCTGTGCCCGCCACCACGGTGATGTTCTTGGGAGTGAGCCTGACTGCAGCGGCAGAAAGAGAAAGGGCAGAGTTAGAGCAGGAAACCCAGGGCCGGGGGGAGAGGAGCGGGACCGCCAGCTCGGAGCCAGGGCCCGGGCCGATGGAAGGGGGCACAGAAAAGCCAGCTCACCTTTCTTACCGCCCCGCTGGTTACAGACGCCTGAGGTGTCCGAGGTGTTCATCTGCTGCAACAGCAGGGATCTGCGGGGGAGCGGGGGACCCGTCAGCAGCCCGGCTCCACCCACCCCTCCTTCCTCTCCCTCCGGGGCCCCACAACGCCAGGAGCCCTCCTCACCCGGAGTGGGCGCCCACGGCCACGCAGCGGCTGGTGTTGGCGTTCCAGGCACAGAAGGGGTCCCGGGCGAGGACACAGTCTGCACAGGAGCGGTACTTGGCGCAGTCTGCCAGGGGCACCTGAACCAGCTGGGAGCGGGACCCAGCGAAGAGGAGCTTCTGCAGGAGAAGAGGGGCTCAGGCCAGGCCAGCGCAGGGGGCACACGAGGACCAGAGGGCGCTACAGCGGGAGCGCTAAGACCCAAAGACTGCACGGAGGGCGGGCTTACTACAAGCCACACGCAACCCTAAGCACCTTACAGACATGACCTTATTAGAAACAGGCGACGGAGCCAAGGCCGAGCAGCATAATCTCACACACACACACACACACACACACACACTCATACTCTCTCTCTCTCTGCAGGAAATACGTTTTTCTCAAGGCCAAGCAGCTCTCTCAGTAGCAGCAGCATTGCATAAGGTGTTTTGCTCTGTTGCAAGGGTGACTGCCAATCTGCGTGTTTATTCAACCACGCGCTTTCTTTCTGCCATTATTCCATGTTCTAGGGAACAATTTTGAATCACAATGGCTGGTGAAAGGCAAACAAACCCACGATCGATGTTGGGGGGGGGGGATGTTGGGGAGGGCAGTGCTGCTGCAAACAAGCCAGGAAGGAGCCCTGCGCGAGGGCACATTGAGAGCGCTTTAGGGAGTATGGGCTCCGGGGCAGAGCCCACTGGGGACTGGTGGGGACTGGATGTCATGTGGGTGCCACCAACAGCTCGCAGCCTGGGAGGGGTCAGGTCAACGTGGCATGATAAGCGGAGCCTAAGGGGAACAGTGAGAGCAGCTACTGAGGCCTCCCAGGGACCTGGCTATGGTGGCCCCAGGCAGTGCAGATTCTGTTTGCTTCTAGAAACTCGCCCCAAGCTCAGCGCCCTGTGCTAGGCTGGCCAAGCACACAAGCCAGCCTGGGGAAGGCAGAGACGAGAGGAAGCAAGCCAGGAAGGGGGGAGGGGGCAGGGGACAGTGCGGGTGTGGTGCCTGATTCATTACCTTGCTCTGGGACAGCACCAGGCTCTCCACCGGCTCTTGGTCAAACACCTGCAGCTCCTCGATCATGTGGACCCAGGGCCCCAGGCTCACGGCCTTGAGCAGCCAGCCGTCTCCTAGGGAGGCGGGGCATGGAAGGGGTCCGTCAGAGGGCCCGAGGCCCCAGGACAGCCACATCTCCCTGCCCTGGGTGCACCCACGAGCTTACCTGTGCCAATGAACAGCACTATATAGGTGGCTCCATCCAGCCCCGCGACCCGGTCGGCCACCACGTGCGTGAAGTTGGTGTTCTTCTTCACCAACAGGGGCCGGCCCCAGCGAGGGCGCACCTGCTCCTCCATCAGCGGGTGCTTCTTGATGAAGTTGAGGGTGTTGTCAGGCAGCTCCAGAGAACTGGTGTAGCCATGGCGTCGGTGCCAATTATTGATGCACTGCCCGGGGTAGGGATGTGGGGAGGAGAGCCGTCAGAGGGGTGGGAAGGGCACAGGGGTGAGGGGTTGAGGGCGGGAACCCACCCCTGCCCCAAGGACTCACCGAGCCGGGCCGGGGGCTGGGGACCGGGTCGGTATAGCGGCCCCACTTCTGGGCTTCCTCCCGGTACTCCTTGTAGGGGCCCTCAAACACCTGGTGGATGTCTGCCAGCTGGTACTCGCAGATTGCCGACAGGTCCATGTCGCCCCTGTTGCAGCGAAGACAGGGACCATAAGGGTCAGGTGTGGCGGCCAGCCCTGGCTCCAGGCACAGAGCAAGGAGATACAGGCAGGAGGACACACTGGCCACTCTGAGGTGCCACCTGGGACACACCCTGCCCACCTCCCACAGGGAGCTTCGGAGAGGGACAGGTGCCCGAGTCCTCCCCCACCAGGGGCCTGGTGCAGGCTCTCACACCCACTCCCCGCCTCTAACCCCTGCACCTGCTCCTCCCTCACCCCCCAAGACTCAGGGCCAACAACTCACCATCGTGCCCTAAAAACCCCAAAGAAGGTGGTGTTGTGCCAGGAGGCGCCCTGTAGGGTGTGCGTGGCCTGCAGCTGGTTAAAGTAGAGCTGCCAGTCGGGCGCAGAGCACACCAGCCGCGCCTTCACGAACGTCGTCCACTTCCTCTGCAGGGTCCGCGCTCCCCCCAGGTCGCTCTGGCAGGTGACAAGGGGACAGAGCTGGTCAGCCCTGTGGGGGGGGTGGGAGGATGGCAGAGCACCCCGGAGCCCCTGCCGCATGACTCGGTACCTTGCAGATGCGGGCCACTCGAGCCACCACCTGCTCAGCATAGCAGTCGTACTCCACGGCCCGCTCTCTGAAGAAGAAGTAGATCTTGTCATCGTCCCCCGTGAAGCTCCCCACGCTCTCAGGGATGTAGGCGGAGCCTACAAAGTGAGGCTCTGCGGGAAGCGGAGCGGGGGTCGGTCAGCGGGGCGAGGCGCTGGGCTACCCCCAGCCCCACCCCACACCAGCGCCTCGGGGCTCACCGTTGAGCCAGGAGGCCAGGTACTCGGTCTTCATGGTGTGGTGAGGCCCCATGTTACGCAGGATAACAGGCTCCGTGCCCAGGAAGTTGTTGAGGGTGGCCGAGTAGAGCTCCCCATCTGTGAGAGACACAGGGCCGGGCCGGCCACCAGTGAGGCATGCATGGCTGCGCTCTGGCCAACGCAGCCCCACGGTGGGAGCAGGTCCCGGGGACTGGGCCAGCCTGCATCGGGGGCAGCCACTCACCCACTAAGAGGCCAGTGTGGCCCTTGGTTGGGTCGTAAGGACACTTCCCCTTGCCGTCCTCCGGCTCTCTGCGCTCCAGAGTGAAGGTGAGCATGTCCTATGGGCAGGGAGGGGCGTGAGGAGCCGCCCAGGGTGGGGCGGGGGCGGGGGTGGGGGCGGGGCACCCAGGGCAGGGGAGCGGCACTCACGATGTACGTGCACTTGGGCTGGAAGGCGTAGGTACCGCACACATACAGGTGGGACGCGTTGTAGGGCTGCAGGAAGCGGATGAAGTTGAAGCACTCCGTCTGGAGGGGGGAAAGGCATTGGTTAATTAGCGAGAGTCCCGAGGGCCGGCGAGGATGGACTGAGACCAGCACCGGCACGCCTTCCCCAGGCCCAGCACCCACCTGATTGCTCTTTCCTTTCTGGGAACACTCAACCTTCTTCTCAGCCGGGGCCTCCCAGGAGATCTGAGGACGGGGAGCACACATCAGTGGCAGCCCGTGCTAGGCATGTCCCCCGGAAAGCCTGCAGCAGCGATGCGGGGACACGTAGCACACAGGCACAGTCCCCATTCTCCGGGAGCTTTGTCCGCTAGGGGACAGAAGTCCCAAACTGCCCCGTAAGAGGAGAGTGAACTCGCTGGTCCTAAGGAGTGGGTGGAGTGGGAAGCCAAGCAAGACATCCCCGGTGGGGGGGGGGCAGCTGGGCTGCGGGACAGCCGGAGCGAGCCAAGCCCCTCGGGGTCCTGCCCTCTCCCCCCTACCCCGTGCACCTCCCGCTGCCCCACCTCTCACCACTCCTTGTAGCTCCAGAGCCTCCACGCTGAAGGCAAATAGGACCTCACGGGCCCCCACGTACAGGAGCCCGGTCTGCTCGGTCAGGGTCAGTGTCAGGAAGTCCTGGATGCCCGTCTGCGAGAAGCGCCGCACTACCGTGGCCAGCTCTGTGGGAGTGAGGATGGGGTGGGCGTGAGCAGGGCTGAGGCTGGGCAGGCCTCCCCGGGGCTCCAAGCACTCCCACAACATCTTCCTCTCTCCCTGCAGTCCCGGCTTCCCCACGTGCAAGCCACCCCCGGCAATAAAGGGCACGTGCTGAAGAGCCTTTGGCTCTGCCGGCGCCCCCTGGGCCTCCCTGGCCATCCCCAGCCTGGGAGGCGGCAAATCCGGGCTGCGAGGAGGAAGGAAGGATATTTCAGCCACAGCTTCCGGCCAGAGGAAGCCATCAGACTGATGGCACTCCCTCCCGGGGTCAGTCACACCTCTGGCCTCAGAGCTGGGCACTTGCCCCGCCCCTCAGCTTCCGAGGCTGCTTTTTTCTTTGTTCCGCTGCCCACGGCAGACGGCGGGGTCCAGCAGGGCAGGAGGTACGGCACAGCCATGAGTGCTCCTTGTTTCAGGAAACCTTCACGCCAGCAGGTATCCAGACCCAGGCTGCCAGAGACGCAAGCACAGCTGGCCATTGGGGTGGGCAGGAGTGCCAGGGGGACCAGGAGGAAGTCAGGGCTCGGGAAACCAGAGCTGGCACTGACGCCCGGGGCCTGGGAAGCCTGGCTGCCACCGGGACACACAGAGCACAGTGACGCTCAAGTATCACGTGGTTCAATGCTAGGCCCCAAAGAGCTGCGGATTCGTCCTCAGGATCCCCCAAACCAGCCCTAAGTCAACGGATGCAGACACAGGCCAGCACGGGAGGGCGTCATTAGTGCCAGAGTAGAGCCTCTGGGAGGTGAGCTCATCCCAGGTCCCCAGAGCACAGGGATGATACAAACACCTGACATCACCTCTTCACACAGGTGCATGTGCACGGGGAGGGCTGTGGGCTTCCCGCTGTGGACCCCATGCGAGCAGGTGCACGCACACGTACACCCCCATCCAGGGCCAGCAGAGGGCATGAGCACAGGAATCGTGGAGGATCTACCGGGGCTGATAAGGGGGTTCTTGAGCACAGAGGGCTGGGAAAGCTAGCAGGGGCGGGAGGGTATTTGGTTTACACCCGTTCTGGTTCAGTGTTCTCTGTGCGGGCTCCCGGCACCACTAGTGATGGGGAGAGCAATGCAGGATGGCCTCTGCCCCTTGCATTCTGGACAGCCAGGTCTGGGGCGGGAGTTGGTGAGCTATGCCTAGCGCCACCAGCAAGTGTCAGAAGGAGGCGAATTCCAGGTCCTGACATCAATGACCAGGTCTGGGCCTCTGGGCCACTCCCATTTCCTAGAAAGCTGTGCCACACACACCAGCACCTGGCATCCACGCTGGGGGCAGGGCCTCAGCAGCGCGCACCTGCTCCTGCCGAAAGCAGCCCTCTCCCACCCGCCACTGCTCCTGCGCCTCCCAAGCTCAGGCACTCACCCCCAGAAGGTACTGTCTTCCGGGGCACGAGGTTCCACCACACCTCAGCCCCAATGCCCAGGCCCCACAGCCCTGCTGCCAGCAGCCAGACGGCCCAGTGCGGGGCCATGACACACGCCCCGGCTCTAAGCTCCAGCTCCAGGCCAGCTGCCCTGCCGAGGGGAAAGACATGGTCAGAATGACAGGTAGAGAAAAACAAACCAGAACTGGCGGCACCAAGACACAGGGCAGGCCAAGCCAAGACACCTGATCAGGCCTCTCCACTAGTCCTTGGATCACCTCCGGTCCTCTATATGGAAGGGGACCTAGCGCCTCACGCGGGGCTCAGCATCCCCAGCCCCACTTAGACCTGGGGGCAATGGGGTCTCCCTGGGAGGCAGGGGCGGGGCGAGGCTGCTGGGGGCGTGGACAAACACCAAGAGGCCCTATTTGGCCTCCAGGCCCTCACTCCCTCTTTAGCAAGAGGAAGTTGTTTAGAAAAATTAAAAGGGATCTCTCTCTCCACAGCCTAAAAGGCTTGAGAGTTGCTTAAAATAAACTCTCGGGCAGCAGGACCAGTATCCACCGCCGCTCCAGCGGCGCGAAGACCTAGTTCAGAGAGGCCAACCTCTCAGTGGGGCGGGGGGCATGTGTGGGGCAGGCAGTGGGCAAAGCCTCCCACGAGCACTGGGTGCAGCAGGCTGCCTGCGTGCGGAGGTCCCAGCCCGGCCGGTCCCCTCCCCCAGCGCAGACAATAGCCCGGCAGAGCCCAAAACCCCGTTCCACATCAGCAGGGCCGGGAGCCGAAGGGGCCCAGCTTCCCGAGGCCCCTTTGTTGCCCAAGAGGGAGGCAGGAAGTGGGTGGGATGGGCGTGGAAATGACCCGGGCCTCATCCTGTTCCTCGCACCGCCTCTTAGGAGACACCAGCCCTTGGGCTGAGGGGTGGCGGGTCAGGAGCCCGCTGCGTTCTAATCAGCGATCTCCCCGCGGCGCTGGCCGGTGGGGCGGGGAGGGCCAGGGGGTGGGGAACACGAGGGGTTCCTCTCGGATCGCGGGGGACACACCGCCACCACGGCCGGCGCCTGCGGCACTCCCCCGGGGTCTCACGAACCTTCCCAACTCCCGGACTGCGCCCCGGGGACCCCGGCCTGGGCAGGCCAACGGGACTGATTTCCACTGCTCCAGCCCTCCCGTGCCGGGGACACAGATCCAGAGGCTGGGGACCTGCTCACCCCAAAACAAAGGGTCCCCGACAAGACCCCCTTCCCGGGTCCCCCACCCCACCCCGAGTTCTCCCCTCCCCCCGCTCCGGGGATTTGAATGCAAACAAAGCGGCGCTGGGAGCGTGGCGGAGCCCGGCCTGCGGACGCCCCCTGTCGGCCCAGAACCCCAGCGCGGGAAGGGTGGGGGGCTGGGGCTGCGATCGCCCCCGACCTGCCCCTCCAGTGCACCTCCGACCCTGCCTCTGCCGCTTACCCCAGGCTAGGACTGGATCCCGCGGCGCGCTCCTTCCAAGGACCCGCCCGCGCAGCGGCGCCCCCACCCCCAGCTCCTCCCAGGGCGGGGGAAACGGGTAGCCAGAGGCGGTAGGGGGTGGAAGGGTGCGGGGTCCAGGCGGCGCGCACCGCACCACTGCCCACCCCGAGCGGCCGCCCGTGGACGGCAGCGCTCTAGCCGGGGACAGGGTGGCCGACGGGGGCCGGGGGCCTGGCTTTCCGGGACGACCCACCTCCCCAGCGGAACGGGCGGGCGGGGGGCCGCGGCAGGGAAATTCGATCCCACAACATCGGCCTTGGTCCAAGCCCGCCCCAAACTTTCCGTCGGGGGTGGGGGAGCCGGGGGGCAATTCGGGAGCCTGGCGAGGATCCCGGCCGCCAGCCGAACGACACAAGGGGACCCCCACTCCCCCGATCCCGCTTTCACCAACCGGCCAACCCCTCCGGCCCCCTGGGGGGCTGCGTGCACCATTCGCCCCGCTCCCGAGCTCGCTCCAGGCAGCCCGCCGCGCGCGCAGGGAGGTGCTCGGACGCACAGCTGTCTCCGCGCCCCCGGCCCCTGCCCGAGCAGGGGGACAAAGCGGCGGCCCCGGGGCCCCACGGCTCCAGCCCGGCGCAAGCCTGGCCTCACTCACCTCTTGCGCGCAGCTCAAATCCCTGGGCGCCGCCCTCGCGCTCTGCTCCGACCGCGGCCCGCCCCTAGCCCGCGCCGCCGTCCGCCCGCGCGCGGCCGCCAGCCCTCCTCGCAGCCCCTCTGCCACCGCCCCTCCGTCCCCGCTCGGTCCGCGCGCAGAGCTCGGGCTACCCTCGCCACCGCGGCGGGCGCCGGCTCTTTCTCCACCACCGCCTGCGCTCTCCGCCCCCTCCTCCCTGACGTCAGGCGGGGGGGGGGCGAGCGCAGGCCGGGGGCGGGACGCAAAGGCCCGCCCTGGATGGGGCTGCCACCCGCCTGGTCGCCCGCCCTCGCCGGGGGGGCTAGGACCCCCAGTGCCCGGCCGCTCCGTGCCGGGCAGTCGCCGTGTGCGCCTTGGCGCCCGGACGGGGGTGGGACGGGGAGGAGCACCGGGCATTGCCACGGCGGGCAGGGGGGGGATCGGACTCACCGGATCTTTCCCAAGTGTCCCCCGAAGACTTACGGTGGGGTTCGGAGTGGCGCTCCAGTGACAGGCATTAAACAGCAGAACCGGTTCGGGGCGAACGTGACTCCAAATTCTGCCTCTTTCCTGGGTCCCCCACGGCCCCACTGGCCCCTGCCCTCAGGCAACAATGGGCTTGGCCAGCCAGGAAGACCCCCCTCCTCCCAGTCGCCGGAGACACTCAACTACTTATTTCTTAGGTTCCAGGCAGAGCCTTCCCCCAGGAAATGACTCCTCCTGGTGGCACTGGAAGGCTGCTTAACAAGTGGCAGGAGCCCTGATGTTCCGATGAAAGCAGCCACCTCCAGACCGGCCTGCCTCACCCCCAGCTGCTCTTCCAAGCAAGCCGTCCTCCTCCCTGCCAGCTGGGCAGGTGGACAGAGGAACCTCAGGGCAGCCGCCCCAAGGGCACCTGGAGGCAGATGCCAGCCCCTGGCTCGGGCAGAAGGGGCTGGGGTCGGGGAGAGAGGGGAGCTTCCACTTTAAGCCAGGGTGCAGCAGTCCTGGAGGGAAGGAACGCTTTAGTCCCCGGCAGCAGGTCTGGATTATAAATCAGTTGGACAGCAGCTTTTGTTCTGGGTTAAAACTTGGCATCTGAAAAGTGGAGACCAGAAGAGCAGTGGAGATAATTGAGAAAAGCGGCCAGTTTGGTTTCAGTAACAATTGAGTCTTTGCTGGTCACACATAAAGGCCCCTTCTCCCGCGCTGGCCAAAGCCACATTTCCCAGCTCCTTCCCAGTAGGAGGGAAAAAAAAAAAAAAAAAAGCTGTGGCCTTGGAGATGCTGGAGATAGGGGCAGGCGGGTGAGCCTCACCACGGGGCAGGGTGGGACAGGCTCCCTGCAGCAGAGCCTGCCATGTGTCTCAACACCAGCACAGAGCTTGACTCTGCAACCTGCCTCAGGGACCTTCTTCTCCTTCCTCCCTCATGGCCACCCCCTAGCGAGTAGCGATTGTGTGTCTCTGGTGTTATAGACAAAATTAGTCTCAAAAGGTGGAGCAGTGGGTCCAAAGGCTCGTTATGTGCAAAGTGGCAGTGTCTGCGATCAGGGCTTGGAACTCCCAATTCTGTCTTCCCACGCAGTCACCAGATAGCCCCACAAAGCTCCCGTCCCTGTTTTTCCTCACTTCCGAGCCTCGGCCCCAGCCTCCAGGTGTGAGGGCTACCAGGCAGCAGAGACCTGAGCCCTCTGGCCCCGTGTCTCCAGGATGGCCCAGTGGAAAGTTTCAAAAGGCGATCTGGTTTCAGCAGCGGAGACTGCCTTCTTCCGTCCCTCGGTGGCAGGTGTTTGGGATCCCCGAAGCCAGGGATGGAGGCAGAGAGAAGCCTCCTCCAGCTCAGAGCCTGCAGGAGCCCCCCCCCCCCCCGCCCCCAGGTCTCCTCCAAGCTGAGGCTCCAGCCGCCCCCTTCTCCCCACCTCCATGCATTTCCTGCTGGGTTCTGTTCATTCCCAGCGCTGGCCCTTTTCCGTGGGTGGCTGGGCAGAAGATAAAGTTTCCTGTAGGACTGCTTGTTCATGATTCATACTTTTAATAAAAGCGCAAACTGGTAGAAAAATGAGTATTCCTGGGTCTTCCATTAAGAAAAAAAAAAAAGATACCAAGGCCAGAAAAAAAAAGTGCCTGTGCAGTCTCTTTGGGGTCTGCCTGGCATTCCGCCCACCAGCCTTGTGCCCGACATACCTTCCTACTCGCCCCTTGTATTCAACTGCTTGTGGCCAATTCAGGGGAAGAGACGCGCTAAACGCCTCCTGGAGCTAAGATTTGAGATGGCGATTCACTGGCAGCTCAGGCCAGCCCCCCACCCCACCCTCAGGTGGCCCAGGAGTCCACCTAAAAAAAGCGAGTGTCCCCTGCCCCCTTCTTGTACGTTAGGCCTGGTACCCAGCCCTGGAGCTGCCTGCCTGCCTGCCCACCCGCTCTCCCAAGGCAGCTCCCTGGCAGGAGGGAGCCCAGGTGCACACTGGGGTCTCTGGTTAACGCTCCCTGGGCCATTCCCATAGCAGCCAGGAGCTGCTGTCAGCCAGCGAGCGCACAGATGGGGAAATGACAAGACTTGGGCCAACCACCCTTCAGGGAGGGACCGTTCCAAGGGCCTGGGGACCGAGGTGAATGGGGACATAGGAAAAGGACTTCCTCTCCCTACTTCCTCTAAAGGGAGAGTTATCAAAGCTGTCCACCTGGGAAGCCTTTCCCTTCCCGGCCCCTCCCAGCCACCATCACCAAAAGGAAGCAGGAAAACATCGGTCATCACAGCCCCGGATGCTGCTTTTCCAGTGGCTTCCATCAGGATATCCCCCACTTTTTCCCAGGGGCTTGGGGATCTAGAAAGGTCGAAGACCTGCAGGGCAAGTGGTAAAGTTGCCAGCACCACTGGGGACAGACTGGCCTTGTGAAGGCTGAATTTAAAGATTTTTAAATGTTCTATTATTTATTTAAAATAAAGAGAGACAGACACACAAAGAGAGAGCTTCCATCTGTTCCCCAAATGCTTACAACAGCCTGGGCTGGGTCAGGCCAAATCCTGGAGCCTGAACTCAGTCCAGATCTCCCATGCGGATGGCAGGGACCCAAATACTGGGCCATCACCTGCTGCCTTCCAGGGTCAGAGCAGCAGGAAGCTGGGATCGGAAGTGGAGCCAGGCACTCCGCTATGGGATGCAGGTGTCTCAAGTGATGTCTTAATGGCTGTCCCAAATGCCTGCCCACCAGCCCAGTTTTTAGATGATCTGGTCAGCTCCCAGCCAGTCCCAGAGAGGGCCCATTACATGCCCCAGGGGACAGCGTGCACCCTTGGGTGACCTCCCACGGTGCACCTCTGCTCAGGTTTCAGCCAGGGCTGTGGAGCGCCTGAGCCGTCACCGACACCTCCTCTCCCCTCGGTGTCTGTTTCTCTCTTGGGGATGAGTGCGTTTCGGGAACAAGCAGCCAGGGCTGGGGAGCAGGACTCCCCATGTCTGCCCTGATGGCCAGCTGGGTCCCTTTCTCAGCACCAGGTAGGGGCGGCATCGAGAACTGGAAACTCCCTGGTTCAGACTCTCAGGATCGCCTCTCTGCCCTTGGCAGTGAGAACAAAGAAGGGAAATTTCAAAGGTGATTTCCAGGTTTCTGAGGATTGACTGTCAGGATGTGTGGTGGCACAGCAGGGGCATCCCTGAGGGCGGATGAAGGCGGCTGGCTCCCTGGAGTCCCCTTACTCAGGGGGCGGCCTGAGGCCCACGCAAAGCTGCTGGGGCCTGCGGCGGGGTGGTGGGTTCCCAGCCAAGGACGCAGGCGACGCAGCCAGGAACAGAAACCAGAACTCTCCATCAGGTCACCTGGGCATCCAAGTCTTGCTGGCCCTGAATGGGTTTCTTCCACCTCTCGTTTGGCAAAGGCTGCAGGGCAGAAAAGGTGGCCCGTGTGTTGCCCTGCACTGCACCGGGCTTGTGCCCGGGGTTGTCTGAATAATAGATGCCCCCGGGCTCCCAGCACGCCGGTGACCCAGAGAAGGAACTGTGTCTGAACAGGCCCAGGGAGGGACGCGCTCTGCTGGGGGTCTGTGCAAGAAGCCCCTTAGCCCCCCAAAAAAGTCCTTTATTTTTGGAGCAGTCTTTCTCCTGGTCGGCCTGCTTCTTCCTAACCCCTGTGCACGAAGCACAGCAAAGGACAGAGACGCATGCGCAGAGCCAGCTGTGCGCAGCAGCCACCTAGGGCTGCGTTGAGAAGTGGGCCCAGGCCAATCTGGGGAGTGAGTGGCGGGGAGACCGGCTGCCACTTCTGGCTCCCTCGCGTGCCTCTTGCAAAACTCCATCCCAAGCGAGCAGACATCAGGACGGGGAGACTGGACATGGATTCCCAGGGTCAGAGGAGTGGGCCGGAATGTGTATATCCAGTAGCCTCCTGGGGGACACAGGCCCACTCACTCCTCCAGGGGGTTCAGGTCAAAGCTATCCAGTACCCTGGTAGGGCTCAGGACCCATGAAACTGATCCAGGCAAAGCCGCGGGAAAGCAAAAGCAGGATCTGGAACTGTCTCTGGGCCCGCCCCCACCCCTGAGTCTGGGGAGTTGCTTTCAGGCCTCAACAATAAATCGAATTAAGCGTAATTACAGCCCTGATCCACCATCTCAGTGTAGCCTCCCCAGCGGAGGCGGGACGTGGGGAGGGGTCCCACACTGGGTCCAAACAAATGTTCTTCATCCCTGCCCTCCCCCTGCCCTCCCTGGACAGTTCTCTGGCCACAGGGTAAATGCTCCTCCCCTGAGACTTGCAAAGAGCCCACTGCTGCCGGAGGCAGGGCCTGGCCCAGTCACGTGACTGTCCGAGGTGAGAACTGGGCAGGGCAGGCGCAGAGGCTGCCGGAGCCCTGGGGATAGGGATTGAAGGAAGTCTTCTACACCACTGATGCCGAAATAAGACTTTAATGTGCACAAAGAAACCTCACATTAGTGACAGAGAGAGGAAGGAGGGCGGGGAGGACGGAGGCCTGCCAGGACCCAGGAGGCCCCGGGGGAACCAGAGCTATGGAGACAAAAGCCTTGGGGAAGAGGAGCTGGGGGGATGGGAGGCAGGAGAGCAGAGGGCTGGGCCAGGTGGGAAGAGGCCCATCCCTTGCTGAGTGGGGGGCAGAGGGCAGGAGCCCAGGCAGAGGCATGCTTTTGCAGCATCAGGCTGGTTGGCATCCGGGCTTCCCCTGCCCTTGACTCTGACCTCCGACCCTTGCCCCTTTACATGTCCTTCCAGGCACTGAAGTACTGGGCCTGTGCAAGAAGAAAAACAGGCTGTCCTGAGGCCACCAGACCCTGCCCACCTCCCCCCTGCCAGGTGCTGCAAGCAACAATTCTGAGTCTCAAGGCCCTGGACAAGGACGCAGCAAGTCCGCAGGCCACTTGGCCACAGTGCTCACCGCCCGACACCCAAGGGGTTGCCGTCCCGCTCTGCCAGGCCACCAGTCACTTTCCCTTGTCTTCGAGAGAACCACACCACTGCTTCCCAGCAGACGTAGTGTGATCCTGTTCCTCGTTCCTCGGGGCGGGAGGGGGAGGCTTGCTCTCCAGCTTTCTCAGAGACTTGTGAAATCTGAGCCCCAAGCCACAGCCTGTGGCCATTGTGTCAGCCCAAGTCAGAGGTTATGGAGGGAAGGACCAGGAGGGAGTCAGAGGAGAGGCAAGCTGAGAGCCAGGGAGCCCTGCAAGGCAGGGGGTGGGGGCAGGGAATGGTTCTTGCAGCCCCAGCTGTCTCCACCAAGGGGAAGAGCGCCCAGCCAGCCCAGCAGGTGCTGAGGCTTGTAGAGATGGAGGCCCGAGGTGGGGGGAGGGGGAGGGGGAGGGGGAGGACAGAGCAGGGCTTGGGGGTGAGGCTGGCTCTGGGCCCTAATTCTGACATTCCCAGGAGTGGCCTATGTGATGGCCTATTTCACCTCTCAGGGCCTCTAGTTAGTTTGCTCATCTGTACAATGGGCTTCTAACCATGGCTGCCTGGTGGGGGTTATGTGGGTTCACTCAATAGCTATAAGCTATACACATGGTGTTACCCTGAGGAGCTGACACCTGAAGGGTGGAGGGTGTTGCTCCAGAAATGGATGGATCAGGGCAGCCGAACAGTGGTCCTCCTACGGGGGCAGGAGGCCAGCCCAGGGCCTGCAGGACAAACGGGCAAGGGTGGACAGCTGGGGTCTCTGGCACTCCTTCTTGGCACTGCTAGCCACACACTGGCACGCCAGCCTGGGCCTTCTCTTCTCTGGAACTGTTTCTCCGCATTTGCCCAGCAGTAGGTTTCTCCCGGTCCCCTCACCCCACCCTGGGGCACTGGATTCCTGACAAGAATGATGGAAGTCCCCAGAGGCATCTCCTCCTTCCCCACCCTTTGCCCCCCCGGCCTGGGGCTCAGCAGCTGCCGAGGGGGTGGACGCATACTGCTGACACTGGTCAGCCCTGCCTGACCACTTCCCTCCCCTCCCAGGGCTGGGGGACCGGAGGGGGCACCACCTGGGGCTGGCAGTGGGCCAGCAGCTCTTGCCAACGGATGTAGGTCTGGGTGGCCAGGTCCTTGAGGTTGGTCCTGTGCATGGCCTGGGGGCTCTCCCGGATATGGGTGCTGATGTGGCGGTCCAACTCCATGCAGAGCAGCTGCAGCTCCCCCTGCGGAGGCGGGCGGAGCGCGCGGGCCGTGGGCAGGTGGCCAGCGCATCCGAAGGGCAGGGTGGGGGAAAACAGGGGCAGAGGAAGGGAGCGACATGAGTGAGTGACAGCTGGGAAGTTGGGCAGGAAAAGGAGGAGAGGGCTGGGGCAACGGTGGGGGGGGGGGGGCTGGGTCAGCACCCAGTGGGACACGGCGGGAGGGGAGAGGCCCTGGCTCCCCTCGGCACCCTCTTTCTTGCCTCCCACTCTCGGCCGCTCCTGACAGCCGGACGAGCTCCATCCTGCTGACTGCTCGCTGCTTGGTGGAAAAGACACAGCTGGGGGCCCCCAGCCCACCCCAGCCTCCTGTGAGACTCACCCATTGGTCTGGAGTGATGTCCTGGCTGCTGACCACCACCCCTGCCAGGGTCAGCAGGCTGTGGCACAGGTAGCAGACCTGGAGAGACAGTGCAGGGAGACCTGCTTCCTAAGTCCCGGCTTTCCCTTCACCGGCGCGCCCTGGGCTCTGAGGGACTCAGCTCACCACGGAGGCCAGCGGCAGGGCCCAGGGAGGCATCTTCCAGGGCGCTGGGTGAGCCGCCACTCTGGGCCCCCTCACTCTGAACCGACCCCACCCCCAGGCAGCCCCCCCAGCTTTCCCTCTAATGAATGGCTCTCTCTGCCACCCAGAGCACACACTGCTCCCGGCTTCTCCTAGGGCTCCAGCAGAGGAAACCCGCTGGGGAGGCACAGAGGCACCCATCCACTGTGACCTGTGCATGCGTGTGACCATGTTTGTGCGTGCTCTGACCCGGGTGCCACTCTCCCCTGTGACACCTTTGTGCAAACAAAGAAGCACCCCCTCTGGTGGGGGGGCAAAGCCCACAGGTGTACAGCTCCTGCTCTGCACCCCTCCTTTGTGAAATGCCACCTGCACACACCTGGCTGTGGCTCTGCCTGACAGCTGACAACCTGTGCCTACATGCGGGGGCAAGGAGGGAGGTGGTTTGGTTGGGCATTCACACACCTTCCCCACCAAATGCACCCTCAGCCTTGCCATGGGATGCTCTCAAAGGTGAACACAGGACAAGGGCCAGTTCCATCTGATTAGAGAGCAGCTTGGTCCCAGGAAACACTGGGACTCTATTGGCACCTGTTCGCTTATGGGACATTCAGCTACTATGTGGAAACAATGAAATGGGGGCCATGGCAAAGATAGGATGCTCCTAACAGGAGAGCGCCGGCTCCTGGCACCCCACCCTCGCCCACAGCCCCCCGCCAGAGGTTCGTCCTGCCTTGTCCCCTTCAGACTCCTCAGGTCTCAGGGAAGACGGGTGGCAGGACTGGCAAACAGGCAGCTCTAGGTGTGAGCCGGGGGCGGGCAGGGGGCGGGGGCGGGGGCAGGCTCTGGAGGGGGCCGGCAGCACTCCAGCTTGGTGATGATGGGGCTGCAGCCCAAAACCCCAGAGTGGTGCGCTGACCACTCTGCCCTCTTAGAGCACCAGGCAGTGCCCAAGAAATGGCAGCAGCTCCTCTGGGCACACAGAGGCCACCCCAGGACGGCACAAAAGCGCTTCTGAGAGCATCTGCCTTGGCGCGATGAAATTTTTTTTTTTTAAGATTTACTTATTTATTTGAAATGCAGAGTTACAGCTCTACAGAGGTAGAGGCAGAGAGAGAGAGAGAGAGAGAGAGAGAGAGAGAGAGGTCTTCCATCCACTGGTTCACTCCCCATATGGCCGCAACAGCTGGAGCTGTGCTGATTCAAAGCCAGGAGCCAGGAGCTTCTTCCAGGTCTCCCATGTGGGTGCAGGGGCCCAAGCACTTGGGCCATCCTCCACTGCCCTCCCGGGCCACAGCAGAGAGCTGGATAGGAAATGGAGCTGCCGGGACTAGAACTGGCACCCATATGGGATGCCGACACTGCAGGCGGTGGCTTTATCCGCTATGCCATAGCGCCAGCCCTGAACAAATACCATGATGCAAAAGTCGGAGGAAAGAGGCCATCTGGGTCCCCAGTAGCAACCACTGCCCTGCCCAGGACCGGGTCTGTTCAGCCCAACAGCTGGGCTGGCCGGACTGGGACACTCTCCCGCATCACAGGGAAGACCCGGCTGGGGAAAGCCAGGGTGTCGGGCGGGTGGGCTTGCTGGGGAGCTGCTCCCTGCTGGCACGGGCTGTGCTCAGCGGCCCTCGGGGCTCCTTGCTCTAGGCCTGGCCTTCCCTAGGGAGAGACCACAGCCCCGCGTGCCTTAACTAAGACACAGACAGCCACACACGCGGTCATGTCAGAGGGCTGCTGCCTCCAGCAACCTCAGCTGCCCCGCAAACCAAAAGGAGACAGGGTCCTTCTAGCTTTTTTTCCGGGGGGAGGGGGCGTGGTGGGCGTGAGTGGGGAGGAGTGGGTGCAGCTCAGTGTTTGCCCAGAGGAAGTGACTAAGCTAACGCAGGCCTCAAAGGAACGGCAGGATTTGAGGCAAAGATGGCCTTGTAGGGGCGGGGGTGGGCAGATTACAACAGCAGACAGGTCCTGAGGGCTGATGAGAGAAACAGAGGCAGGGCAAGTAAGGACTGCCGGGCCAGGTAGCCAGCTGGGCTGGTGCAGGGACAGGGCTGGCTGCACAGAGTGGGCGGGGGGTGGGGTGCGTGCTGGGTTGGTGGGTGGATAACGGGGACCCTGGGGCAGCAGGAGACAGAGTCTGTGCCAGTGTGAAGAGTGGCTCCCCCGGGCAGAGGGCCCGCGCTACGTCCTTTCTCATCCCCGGACTTTTTCTTTAAGGTGATGTCTCTGCCCTGCGTGCTTTCACTCTCACGACCACAATACAAGGAAAGCGTGTTTGTTTTCATTGTAACTACACACTGCCCACTCACTGCACCTAAGCACCGGGGCACCGAGGGTAAAGCACTTGCCCTTGAGTGAGCTGCCCGTGAGAGCAGCAAAGAAAAGAATCCAAAGGCCAGGGCCATGACGTAGTGGGTAAAGCCGCCGCCTGCAGTGCTGGCATCCCATATGGGCGCTGGTTCGAGTCCTGGCTGCTCCACTGCTGATCCAGCTCTCTGCTGTTGCCTGGGAAAGCAGTGGAAGATGGTCTAAGTCCTTGGGCCCCTGCACCCACGTGGGAGACCCGGAGGAAGCTCCTGGCTTGGGATCGGCCCAGCTCTGGTTGTTTCATCCATCTGGGGAGTGAACCAGTGTATGGAAGACCTCTCTCTCTGCCTCTGCCTCTCTATAACTCTGCCTTTCAAATAACTAATAATAAAAACAAATCTTTTTTTAAAAAAAAAAAAAAAAGAAAGAAAAAGAATCCAAGCAAGGGCAACAGAGCCCCAGGGGGTGTGGGGATGGCTGGGTGAGACAGCCTTGGGCCATATGCAGAAGTGGGGAGACGGGGACCCTGCACCTCTCAGACACCTGCACCTCTCAGACACCTGTCATGGGGAGGCACCCTCCCAGCATGGGGCAGGCCGCAGCCCAGAGGAGGGGTCTCGGCTGTGGAACTTTTCTCCTTCTGGGAGGAGGCATGGCCAGAGCTGAGGGACGCTCTAGGAAGACCGGGCCATTCACCCCGGCAGTGGGGACTGACTAAGCAACAGAGCGAGCACGTGAGTGTCTCTGGTTTCACAACTTGCTTCCTTTGCTGATCCCCACGATCGAATCTGCAGGGAAAATCCCAGGAAAACTATTGTGAACAGCGTAGGGGGCAGAATAGCAAGTACGGGGTGCGCGTCCGGAAGGAGAGCCCTAGGGACCTCCTCATGGAAGCACTTTCTCCAGAGGGGAAAACCAGGCGCCGGCCAGCCCTGGCCTGCAGGCCACTGCCTTTCCCCTGGTGCTCCAGGGCACTTGGAGGTGGACCCACGTGAGGGGAGGCCCCTTTAGGAGTATTTTGACCCAGTTTAAAGGGACCAGGTTCCACCCGTGGCCAGAACTCATGACCTGGACAGCAGCGGAGCCAATGCCCTCCCTTGGGGGCACGCGGGGAGCTTGGCCCTAGCTGGACTCCCCTGTTTTTGCTTCTGAAAAAGGGTTTCCTAATTGGCACAGGACACACAGAGCCCCATCTCCTGTTGCCTCCCACAGCCCCATGGTCTTGAAGGTGAGGAGCGGGAGGAGGGGGTCCGATCTGGTCCAGACGAAGCGTACAGTCAGGCCTGGCCCCTTCTGAACTCCCCCACCCCCAACCAGTGTGAAGGGCGGAGGAGCCAGCCATTAGCAGAAACCAGGGGCTCTGCCCCAGGAGTTTCCCCTGGAAACGCTGGTTAAAGTTGGGAGACCGGAGGGCGAGGAGCGTGGGGCAGGCAGGGCTGGGCGAGGGAGGGGCCGTCACTCCTCCTGGGGTGAACAGCCAGGTGCCAGCGCCACACACTCGCTGCTCCCTTCCTGGTCTGACCAATCCCTGAACTCTGGCAAGCCTGCTCCTGTCCTGGCTGGCACCGCAGAGACCCAGGCTGCAGCTTCCCTGTGTAGCTCAGGAAGGGGTGGCCGCTGGGCAGGTGCACGTAACGCAGTGACCCCTGCCTGCGTGCCTGCCCTGTCCATTCCCTCCACTGCTACGAGCCTGAGGCGGTCCCTTCCAGGTCTCAGTGTTGGGGGAAGTCAGTATGGCTTCAGGGTGAGCCCCCTGTGGCTGGTGGCGGCTACACTCGTCCGGGCCTCAGGATCTTGTCTGCCAGGTCCCTGACCAACCCAGACAGCCCAGCTCCTTCTGCGCAGGACATGAGTCGAGGCTGGGAAGTCCCGATGGGAGATGGGACCCGGGAAACCTCAGTCAACATCGTGGGAAGACGCAGTCTGCAGGCAAGGAGAGCGACGTGCCTGAACCCAGCACCGACAAGACAAGGCAGGGACAGCCTCTGTAGCCGCTGCCAGCAAGGCCTGCAGCTCCTGTTGCCTGGGTCTCCCCAAAGTCTGGGGGTTATTCCCAGCAACCCCGTGCGGGCTGCCTCATTCCTGGCTCCCCTGCCTTAAACGGGGAGGAGTGACAGCGAGCAGCCTGCTTGGCCTTGTCACCCGCAGAGGGGGAGATGACCAATGACTCCCAGCTTCGTTTGCGCTGGTTTTGACCCCAGGAACCGCCAGCCAAGTGTTCCAGCTCAAGCGGGATCCATTCTCAGCACTTCTGACACAGAGCAGAGGGAAAATGGGTGGGCATTTCCCAGGAACTCCATACTCTAGAAAATTCCCCTCCAGCGATTGCCAAGGGAGCAGGCTGAGGCCCGGCGTATTTACGCTGAACATGGGTAGAGAGGAGGGGAGAGGCTGTCCCCGGAAGCTACTCGCACGTCACAGTTCCTCCTGCCGCAGGTCACGACCAAGCCCTTTCCCTGGAGGCTGCCCAGGCACGGTGGGCACGGCAGACCCTCCAGGAGGACCCTGGGAGAGCAGCTCTGGGGCAGCTGCAGGCTGGGGGCAGGGGAGAACGGAGGCTGACCCAAAGGACGTGGCTCTCCCAACCACGCTGCTGACACGCAGGGGCTCACCCCACAGGGGTCCCTGGCTCTTGCTCAGGGAGTTGGCCCTGAATGCCTGCTGATGCCCAAGCCCTGGGACAGGAAGGTCCCAGTACAGCCTCCTTCGTTTTCACCTTTCCAGTGCAGCCCTGCCTGCTGACAGATCCCGAGAGAGGATCTGTGCCCCACCTGCCAGCATCGCCACCCGTGGGTCCTCTCAGGGATTCAGATGCAAGCACAGGTAGATCAGCACTAGGGCAGCTGTTTGGCATGGCGGCTATGCCTGCCTGGGACGCCTTCATCCCATGTCGGAGTGCCTGGGTTCGAGGCCCTGCTCCACTTTCAAGTCCAACGTCCTGCTCATGTGCACCCTGGGAGGCAGAGGTGATGGCTCAAGTACTTGGGTCCCTGTCATGTCCAGGGGAGACCTGGATTGAGTCGCAGGCTCCTGACTTTGGCCTTGCCCAGCCCTAGCTGTCACAGGCATTTGGGTAGTAAACCAGTGGATGGAACACCTCTTTCTGTTCCGCTGTCTCTGCCTTTACAATAGATGAAAAATAAAATAAGATGAGCTCCAGAAGACAACTAGCCTGGGAAAGACTGAAGCTGTGCTGGCCTGCCTTGGGCCATTTCAGGCTCAAGGCTAGGTCTGGGTCATGGGACTGCCTTTCCCCTTTGTATTAAATGGAAGCCTCCAGCATCCGTTCACAGTGTCCTGACCCAGTGGGGCGCAGAGAGGGCCCGGGGACCCTCATTTTACAACACACGTGGAAGCTGAGACTTGGGGAGGTCCCCTGCCATGCATGACATCGTGCCAAGTAAGGGCAGGTGTGGCCACACACAGGTGGCTGCTCTCACACCTCATCCAGACAAGCTTCCCATGTGTGCAAGGGAGCATGCGATGGGGGCGGGGAGGGCCTAAAGGGAACTGACGCTGGGGAGACAGCCAACCGCTGTGTACGCGGCAACCAGAGCCAGGGCCTCCTAGAGGCCTGGCAGAGGGCGGGCGGGCGGGGGGGGGGGGGTGCTGGAGTGCTGCCCGGGGGTGGGGGTGGGGGGTGGGGGTGGGAGTCTTGTTAAGCTTCAACCCCCAAGGGCATGGCCAGGTACTCTACCACAGGTGGAACAAACAACAACAATCATTAGCCATGAGTAATCCCAAGCTGGCTACCTGCAGGCCCTGGGAGGGAGCCAGTGCTTGGCCAGCCAGTGCGTCCATCAGCACGGGCAAGCAGGGAGGCACACCCCACAGCCCCTGTCTCCATCTGTACTCATCCTGGAGTATGGTGACACCCACCATCGTCCCCAGGATGCCACTTCTCCCCAGACCCCGCCAGCACGCTGCATGACCCACAGCCTTGTCAACGCAGCTCCTCTTCCAAGGTTACACCCCCTGAGCATGGATTTGGCAGGCACTAAAGAAGCAAGGGCTGTATTTGAAGTTCTGTTCTTAAAGGAAAGCTGATGTTGGAAGCGCCTCTGGCCAGGACAGGTCAGCAGTCATAATTCCTGGTGAGCAGGAAATGACAAGGACACAGGGAAAAGAGGCGGGTGACGTAACACTTCTTCCTAGTCTCAGGTCCCTGAAGACACTGGGCCAAGAGGCCAGAGAGCAGCCGTCACGGGAGGGGCCTGCTGGCTCTCCTTGGAGCTTGCTAGACTGGACACTCAGTTCTGTCAATGAAAGCGCTTGTTTGGGTGTGGGGGGTGGGTGGAGCAGGAAGGAGGCCAATTTAGGGTGATGGGAGACAGGCTGGCAGCATCTGGACAGGAACCGGACTTCCGGCTCAGCTGTAGGAATGGCCGCAGCGCGGAAAGTGGCTCTCGGGGCCCAGCTGGGTGCAGAGCGTGCGCTCTCTTCCCAGGCTGCCGGAGGACTGCAACGACCCAGCATGCATCCCTGCTCCCCTGCACCCCAAGCTTCCCAGACAGTGAGTTCAGAGATCTGAGAGCCCCTCACAGTGGGATTCCCTTTTAAAGCTCTATCCCAGACTTGTGATTGCGCACCCTCAGTGGCTCTGGCTCCTGCTCTCCGTACTGAGGACAAACAGGGAACGAGGAGCCCACGGCACAGTGGCTTGGGGTGGGAAAGAGCTGGGGGCTGGGGCTTTTTTCTTCCTGTGCATGCACTGCGGGGGGTGACCGCTGAGTGCTCCCCCCATTCCTGCATCTGCTGCGGGACGAGCTGAGAGGCTGGGGGAAAGCTGCCTGGAGGGCTCCCACCAGTCCACCCTTCCTCTCTTGGCTTCCTGCTGCTGCTGCTGCTGCCGGTGATGGGAGGTGACAGGCGAGACTTGTGGGCTCTTCCTGCTTCTCCAGCTGGAACCAGCAACTTTTTATAACAAAGATTTATTGGGGGCAGGTGCCATGTCACAGTAGGTTAATCTTATGCCTGTGGTAACGGCATCCCATATGGACGCTGGTTCTAGTCCCGGCTGCTCCTCTTCTGATCCAGCTCTCTGCTGTGGCCTGGGAAAGCAGTAGAAGATGGCCCCAGTCCTTGGGCCCCTATACCCACGTGGGAGACCCAGAAGAAGCTCCTGGCTCCTGGCTTTGGATTGGTGCAGCTCTGGTCTTTGCGGCCACCTGGGGAGTGAACCAACAGACGGAAGACCT